AGTTGCCGGGAGGCGCACGCGGGGCTGACAAGGCAAGTTTGTCTAGTCTTCAGAATAGGACGAAAACCCGAGGTCACCTTCGCGTACACATTGGGGTACACGTAATAGCTTACCTATTGTAGAAACAATAAACATACCATTTTGACAGGTAGCATTATTTGGCAATTAAAATTCGCTTTAAAATCTTTCCGGCGTGCCCCCCCCCCCCCTTGTCAGTGATGCATTACGGAGGGCCTGACAAGGACAGCTGTCTAGTCGTTCGGATGGTACGAAAACCCGAGATCCCGTGTACACATTGGGGTACACGTAATAGAATCCTTGACAGTTGGAATGCGATATAAGAGTATGCCATAGCGCCACTGTCCGGGCAAAATGTTCCCCATAGCACACTGTATGGCGTATGCCTGTCTTCATTAGCCCGGTAGGAGCGGACGAATAGGACTTTAAACCCCATTTCATTTCTGGGTTTAACGTCCTATTCGTCCGCTCCAACCGGGCTGATGTAGACGGAAATAGAAGTGTGCTATGAGGGGAATTGTGTCCAGGCAGCACCATTCCATTCTCCCCAGTTTAATTACAGGTAAAATAATGTAGGCCTACTTAATTTAGTTTCCCATTATTCACAATATATATGTTTTTGTTTTCCATGATTCAGATGGTAATAATAACGATGATAATGGTGATGATGAGTATCAGAGGCAGTGGCAGAGAGCGTTCTCATCTCATCCATGTTGTAGACAGAGATGGCAAGTCTACTGGTCAAATCATCATAGTAAATAAAGTATAATCCCTAGTAAATAAAATCTAGTTTTATTTGTATAAAAGTCTAATTTATAGTTAATAAAAATCTAGTGTTTTTTTGTATAAAAGTCTTATTCATAGTTAATAAATTCTAGTTTTTTTGTATAAAAGTCTAATTAATAGTTAATAAAATCTAGTTTTTTTGTATAAAAGTCTAATTCATAGTTAATAAAATCTAGTCTTTTTTGTATAAAATTGATTTAGTATACATCAATAAAATAATACTAATCACCCTAGTAAATCGAGTCTATTTTTTCTGTATAAAACTGATGAAGTATATATAACATTATTAGTCAATACTATTAATTACCATAGTAAATAAAGTCTTGTTGTTTTTTATGAAATTATTACAGTATTGCTAAGCATCTAATAAATAAAGTCTAGTTGTTTTGTATAAAATTGATTTAGTATTTATTATTACAATACTGCTAGGTGTATTTATTATAAAATAGTTCAATGATAAAATTGATTTTCTGTACATGTTTAAAATAGAGTATGTCTTTGGACTACGGAAGCGTATAGGGGTCATGCAAAATTTTGTAGAAGACCTCGAGATCCTGCGATCCTGTGATACTTTCTCGAGATCTCATTTTAATGTTCTCGAAATCCCCTAATAATTTTCTCGAGAATCTCCCATCCTGTGTTAACGATCTCGAGAATTCGAGGTAATGTTCGCGGGATCTTGCCATCCTGTGTAAATTTTCTCGAGATCTCGGGTATTTTTATGTGTACACGTAGTTTTAACGTTTTCTCAGCGCACCACAACCTGTCGTTTTGGAGTATACCCCCCCCCCCCCCCACACACACACATACACACTTTCCCGCAAACCTAAATAGCACGATAGAGCCTACAGTTTAGTGTAAAGCATTGTGGCCATGAGAGGACGGTCCCTGTCGCTTCTAGCTTCTAGCGCACCTTATCGTTCTGGAGTTATCCCCCTTATCCGAAAAACTTGTTAACACAATAGAGGCTACAGTTTTTAACTGATTTTGTTTTTAAAATGTGGTGGGAAGCACTAGGACCTTTCGACTTTCAGTACTCCGTAAACTTTGTCCGTATTTCTTTCAAATATGTGACGATGAGAGGACGAACCCTATCGATATTCAGCATTCGGTGACCTTCTGTTCCTTGATATACCCCTCTCCCCGCCCGCTCCCTGAAAGCCTTGTTCACGCCATAGAGGCTTCACTTTTACAATTTTGTGTGAAGCTTTGGGGTCATGAACTTTATTGATAATCAATGGTTAGCGACCTTCCGTTCCGGAGTTATACTCTCCATTCTTTGAAAACCTTGTTTTTAACGGATTTTCGAAATTCAGTGTTCCGCGACAAGGATGACCCCTGTTAATTTTCAGCAATATAAGGTTTTTTGTCCCAGAGATGTAACAAGCACGTGAACACGATAGAGATAAGATTTCTTGAAGAATGCTAGATCCTTATTCAATGTATTAAACAACCAAATTTTGCATTCGAATAATCTGCTGTTGAGGCATAGATGCTGCGTGGGCGTATTTCCACACTTTGCGTGGCTATCGTTCAAATTTATTTTGAATTATTAGAGTCATAAGCAAAGAAACCCTATTTATTTTCGGCGGAAAAATGAACCTTATTGAATTGCCTCGATCCCTTTTGAACGCGTTAGAGCCCAGAGTTTTTCAAGATTTTTGATTTAAAATCTGCTTAGAAGCATTTCTGCCACAAGTCAATAAACTCTGTGTCTAGCTTTATTCTAAAACAAAATATGGACTGAAAACCATGCAAAAAATGATATATTCTATTAAACGTCGCCTAAAAATTAAATTGAAATAATTTAACAAGCATGTCTGTAATTCAAATTTGGGTCATAAGACGATGAAACCTATCGATTTTAATCATATTTCAAATTTAGTGTAAATCATGGGTACCCCATCGATTGTCCGTTTCTTCTCTCATTAGTTAGCAGTTTTCCTTTGTAACAAATGTTAGAGTATTTTTTTTAGGCGAAGTATTGGGCCATCAGTTGCATGACTGCGTGAAGACACTGTCATATAAGGTTTCATATTAACTCGGGATCTCGAGAAAATTTACACAGGATGTCAATATCTCGAGAATATTAACTCGAATTCTCGAGAAAATTTACATAGGATGTCAATATCTCAGGAAAATTATCAGGGGATTTCGAGAAAATTAAATAAAGATCTCGAGAAAATTACCAGGTGATCACGGGATTTCGAGAAAGTATCACAGGATCGCAGGATCTCGACACCTTCAACAAAATTTTGCATGACCCCTTTACGCTTCCGTAATGGACCAATCTTTAGAAGTATTACTAATGTATTTATAAATATAAATGAGTGAGAATTAGTAAAAATAATTATTATTTGGGGTGTATTTAATGTCTTTAAAAACGGGACGTGGTCTGTTTTATCATAAAAAAAAAATAAAAAAATAAGAATAAACTTTTGATATTGATATCAATATCAAAGAGATGTGATTTTGATTTTTACCAAACGGTAGTGTGGGGGGTGGGGGAGTCTTGGGACAATTATGATAAATCTGTTTGTGTCGATGGTGTATTGTGTGTGTGTGTGTGTGGGGGGGGCTTATCTGGGCCCTAATATAACATTCAATTCCATTAGCTACACCCCCCTAACCAACATTTACTAAGTGAATTTGTTATTGTGTTATTTTCGGAGAGACAGGGCACCCAGCCTGGACCCGCGACTGATTATATAGTTAACTACACGTTATGCAAGAGCTAAATCTGCCTATTGCAGGTCTTTCTTAAAGTTGCAATTTCATATTTTTAAGTTATATTTTTAAAATTTATCAAAATAAATCCTTAAAATAGATGGTATCTATAAACACCCGATGTCGTCACTAGCCTGTGATATTTACTGGATTCGTGATTAAATCAAGAAATAGATAATCGAGACTATGTATTTTATCGCACCGACTTTAGTAAGGATGATCGAGGCTAGGCCCAAAATTCAGTCGCTAAATTCTCGGTTCAGGGTGGATATTTTCATTATCTAGTTTTCAACTATTATAGTGAGAACTGCCAGCCTTTTACCTAATCTCCCTAATGTATCTTAAGTTTAGATGGGGAATTGGGTCCCCGTAGAGCTTGAAATTACCACTTCCCATTGATAAATGTTACATCATCAAGCAGCAGTGTTAACACGACGCCCCACAGCGTAATTATAGTGTTAGACCATGGTTAGACAAACATCTATTCTTGAAAGTGAAAAGGTGAAGCGTGCCATTTGCCTAGAAACAGAATAGGATCAGAGTCAAATTATCTGTTATAACTGCCAATTTAGTTTTATCAGATGTTATATGAGGTTTTATTCAACGAAAAGAAACAAAGCGGTTACATTGAGCTTAAAAACCTTTGCTACAAAAGTTGCGTATTTTATCAAGAATTTTCAGTTATGTAGGACCGGTGAAATAGACTTCTAGTTATGTATCTCCTTGTAGTTCACAAGTGTATTAAGTGAGAGAGAGAGAGAGAGAGAGAGAGAGAGAGAGAGAGAGAGTAATTGTCAACTGTGAAAATGTGGTCCGTATCCATTTAGGGTGTTCCATCTTTTTGAGTTACCTCCCTTAAATAATTCTTCTCGATTGAAATTTAAAGATAAAATCCGTAAATATGAACACAGTCTCTTTTATCCAGACTCACAACTGCCATAAGTTACAGCGATCGGCAATCCCCGATAAAATATCGGCATATTTGAATTTACATACAATCATCATGCAGACACAAAAAAGGTCCAATTAATCCAGAAAGTCAAAAAAATATTTATCATTAAAATATAGGACCGACTAATCGTCGCGTGGAAAAGTTCTATTATTAAAGGGACAGTATGGATAAAAAGATGATGTCCAGGTCTCGCTATAAAAATCGATAATGAAAATTTCAGTCAAATTGCTTCACTTTGAACCTAATGCGAGTCACGCACCAAGTTCTTCGGATGAGCGGTTAAGAGATATTAGCCAAGAGGTAATCTTCCCTTGCTCAAAATATGAATAAATAATATATATGAAACAAAATAAAATCTTTGGCCGTTTTTAATTTTGCAAAATATTTTTTTTTTGAGGGGGGGGGGGGTGTATAAGAAGTAAAAATTGTGCCGAGAAAAGAACCTATAATCATTATTTGCACAAACGGCCCACCATTTAAATAATAATGAGAAACTACAGGCCTGGACTAAACGAGACTACACTGGCGGTTGTTCCAAATCTACGAGTTCGCAATAAAAACATCAACAACAGTGCCCAGAGACAGAATGCGAGTCAGTAAAATTATAAACGCCATGTTTCAGACAGTATGAGTGGGTTTAAAGGTGATTAAGATTCAGTTCACAAAATGAGAAGTATCATTATTCTTTTACAAAAACAAATCGCCATTCAAAAACGAGAGCCGTTCAATTTTGACCCTGCCTCTAGTCTTACTACTAACAACTTCGTTCTTGTTTGTCTTGTTTGTCAGTTGACATCGGCTTAAATTTTAAAATAATCAGTCGGCAAGCAAGCTGGTTTGAGTGGAATTATTTTTATAATTTTATAGATTTTGCCTGATGGTCTGATCATTTGACATTTTTTTTTTTATCTTGCATAGATTAGATAGTGTCGACACTAGGGATGGGGCCAGGGCTGTACATTAACTGTAATTAACAGAAAATAGATTGGGTGGGGAAGAGATAATCGGTTATTGCCAGGTTGATAAAAACCTGAGGTCGTAATTTATATAAAGGCAACGAGGGAGTGTGTGTGTCTTGCAGCGCTCCCATCAATGGTAAATCTTAGTTAAAATTGGAGCCATTGCCAATTGTCTGAGGGACATATGAATAATAAAATATGATCGAACTCCCATCTATGTCTAGGGAAGGCATACATGTAGGCTACTGATATGGAATACCTCAATTTTTCATGATTATATGTGACTTTTATCTTCATTTTATAAGAAATTTTGGCAAAGTGGTAAGACTAAGAGTAGGCTAATAGTAATAGTCCAAGAAATTAGTTTGAATAGGGCCAAATTATAAACCCTAGTTGGCAGTGAACATGAAGCGTCTAGGCGTATCAATGTCGTCAACAACATAATTGTTTGGTTATGCGTGGTTCCTATTTGTTATTGAATAATGCCCGCTGGGCTGACATGTAACAACTGCCTCATCGTTACAGTGTGTTATGAGGGAAATATTGCCCGGACAGCGGTGCTATGACCTACTGTTTTATCAATTTACAACTGCCAAGGGATCTTTAATATGTACGCCAATGTGTACAGAGGACCTCAGTTTTACATCCCATCTATGTAACTATACCTTGTCATGTGCCAGGCCCCTCCGTCCTGCACCACTGACAAAAGAGAAACCACACCGGGAAATCCTGATGACCTTTCTCGGCAAACGCAGGGATTCAAACAAGGGGAGTCACTGCCTCACCCAATGATCCACCGTGGCTACTGCATGTATGTAGGACATTGCATTATATAACTTAAGCAAATAATATATTTATTTATTTTAATCCATTACAGAAAAATCAAATCTTAACGATGAAGCTGACGAAGATGAAAATGGTTCAGCGCTATCCACAAATCATTTACCCTCGATACACGATTTTGTTTTTCTAAAGCCGATAAGTCGCGGAGCTTTTGGTAAAGTTTATCTTGGATGTAAAAAGAATGTACCCGAGAAGATCTACGCCATAAAAACTATGAAAAAATGTGATTTACTGAAAAAAAACCTGATTAAACAAGTTACAACTGAGCGAGATGCCCTGGCCTGCGCCCAAAGTCCTTTTGTTGTCGATTTATTCTATTCCTTACAATCTGAGCAGAATATCTACCTTATAATGGAGTATATGATTGGAGGAGATGTGAAGAGTTTGTTGACCATATATGGTTATTTTGATGAAGACATGGCTAAAAGGTATATCGCGGAAGTAACATTAGCGTTAGAGTATCTTAATAATCTTGGTATAGTGCATCGCGATTTAAAACCAGACAATATGTTGATATCATGTCAAGGTCATATTAAACTGACTGATTTTGGGCTTTCGAAAATAAATATCGACGTTGTTCCCACATTAAATAATCTGAAACAATCGGGAGTTAACTATCACCGAACACCGGGACAGATCATGTCGCTGAAGTCATCGTTAGCGTTTACTGTCACGGCCAGCATGAGGAAGAGAAGTCGTCCATCTGTCTCCAGTCCGGTCGTCGTTAAATCGAAACGCAGTTGTCAGTCACCTGTAGCAGAAGCACTATTTAACTCTCCATTGTTGAAGACAAAAAAGGCAATGTCACCTTTTGCCGTTCAAACAAGCAGAAGTAATTCGCCCATTGTGAATATGACTCCGCCCATTCAAAGTTTAACTCCTACGTTGGAAGATTCCCTGAACTGGACGACAGACAGTGACGCCAGTTATATGACGGCTCATAATTTCTCAGTTTGCAATCCGAATACATCAGGAACAGGACCCAACTTACATCAGTCGTCGGGCCCAAAAGAAACAAAAACAACAGATTCCCATTGCGACAAAGACAAAGTAAATGATTCTCAAAATGTTGCGAAAGAGATTTTAGTTGGAAAGGAGCCGTCAGTGCTGAATTCATCCACAACAACACAGCAGACGGTAAAATCAACGACTCTTTCTTCCAGCCAAGATAGTTCCAAAGATGACACTCCGCAACTACGTCTTTCAAACGAATCGGTGTGGAATTCATACGCAGCTAGAAATTTACGGAGCATGAGGGAAGGTTCATATTCGGAAGATTCTGGTGAAGAAACCGGAAAAGTTCTCGACCTAGGTTCTCCATTGTTTCGACCAAAACCCGGAAAATACAACATTGGAAAATATCCGCCAAATCCTCTGGTGTCGGAGAGTTATGCAAGTTCGTCCGGTAAAAGCAGTTTATATGGATACCATTCCGATGACGAAATGGACATAAGCTCAAGCAAACTCTCAACTTCGAGAAGAAAACGGGGCTTCGATTGTTTAAATGAAAATAAATCGAAAGGAATCGGGAATATGAAAACGGGACTGACAAGTGATTTTTCTGTTTTTAACATAGTTTCTGATATACAGAATAATAAAAGACAAAGACTGGACCCGGATTATACATCGAATAAAAACGATTCTGAACTGTATGCAGCAGACATTTCGTGTGATATCTCGATGAACGATGGAATGGCGCGATGTCGCGAATGTAACAATACATCAAGCGAAGATCTGTCCGCGTTAGAAACATCGGCTGAAAGTTTTTTCAGTTCGCGATCGCGACATCAAAGCGAACTGAGTGTTCGGAGTTCGTTTGGTGGTAATTCTACCATGTTTCTCTCGCCGTTTAATGAAAGTCACGAGTTGTCGAACCATCCTTCGATACAAGTTCAAGCTAATTCCGATACAAAGACATACGATAGAATTCTGGATAATAGACTGAAACAGTGTCATTTCAAATCGGATTTGTTATTTAAATCTCCGCTACCGCAGCAGGTGAACGGAAAACAGAGGCATGCGTGTACTTGTCAGTCAGGAGGAGATAATCTCAAGGTACCGAATTCAGGTAATCCAGACGTTTCCATGATGACACCAGATAATTCCAGTAAAACACAATCGCAACCACGAACCCCTGCAAGTACGATTAAAACCCCTTTCAAAACTCCCTTTAAAAATCAACTTAAAACCCCGTTCCGAACTCCTAAAAGTGTTCGCAGGGGACCGCAGCAACAAGAAGAAGAAAGAATTCTGGGAACTCCCGATTATCTGGCCCCAGAAATACTGATGCAGAAACCTCATGGTTGCGGTGTTGATTGGTGGGCATTAGGCGTTTGTTTGTATGAATTCTTAACAGGTATACCGCCATTTAACGACCAGACGCCAGACTTAGTCTTTCAGAATATTTTAAACCGAGATATACCATGGCCAGTAGAGGAAGAATCATTAAGTGACGCAGCAAAGATGGCCATTGATGAACTATTAACTATTGATGCTAATAAGCGTCCACAAGCTAAAGAGGTGAAGGCCATGACCTTATTCGCTGATCTTGATTGGGATCAAATATTGGAAGCGGAACCTCCGTTTGTTCCGGAGCCTGACGATGAGTTAGATACAACATATTTTGATGCCAGAAATCGCGTTCAACAGCTAATTGTTTCGGCAGTAGATTTGTAATATTTACAAGATATCCAAAATATGTCTTATATCACATAGGCATACCATACAGATCCAGCTAAGACTAAGCTTGGACATACACAAGCCTGGACATAATGTAGGCCACCTGTCACATCAGTCACAAATTTGTGCTAGCTATTATCAGTGACAGGTGCCTTACAAGTATAGGCCTATTACCAGGTTTTGATAAATATTGAAAGTAGGATATTTTACTTATTTATTTTATCGTATAGCTAGTAGCTACACAAGAATATTACAAAATCAAATATCTGTAACTCATGAATGTGATAAATATTGTATAATCTAAGCTTCGATATTACTAAGTTATATACAATGTACAGTTCAGACGTTTATTTTTGAACCAGTTCAAAATCGCCGGAGTTTAAAAGACAGAGTCTTGTAGCATTCACACATACTACATGTATAAGCCAAACCAGTTTAACTATTCTGACCTCTTCGGTCAGAGGTTAGAGTTAACTATGCATGGGTACATGTATCTTCATATTCTTGATTCGGTTCTTGCATGCATTCGATAACACTACATTGGATTGCCATTTTCCAAGGATTGCAACTTACCGAGCTGGAGCCGGGATTTTTAAGCCAACCTGTTCAAACGGCCAAGATGAACCAGTTTAAAATAAAAAAGCCTTCTCGAAGTCAGGTCGCAAGCCAGGGTTTTTAAACTGGTTTATTTGCCCCACATTGTGTTCAGACGACAAAGTTAAACTGGTGTAACGATCCCCGTTTTTTTTTTTTTAACCAGTTCAAATTTTAAAGTGTCTGAACGGAATATAAGAAGATGTTACGCATCAACACAAGAATATAACTAAGGTCAGATATCGTGTGATAAATATCATATAATCTAAGCTTTGATCAAGCCTGGAAATAAGGCACCTGTCACAGACAATGCCAAGCACAGATTCAGGCTTTGTCAGACACAAAACCTCTGGTGCCTGCCTTTTTCTCCGGCACAGATTTGTCTTTTTTTATTGATATTATTAATACATGTCCGACACTAAGTTGAAAATGTCAGGTACTATTTCATTAGTGCCTGATATTTTGTCAGGAACATCTGAAATCGTTATTTCCAGACCTGGCTTTGATATACATATATATATATTAAGGTGGTATGTATTATATATTGTTATTGGAAATGGAATAGGTATATTTACGCATACGGTAGTCAAATTCTAAACATATCTTGTGATAAACATGCCCAGTTGATATACATGGTAATGGTTATTGGAAGAAAGATATTCTAACGCATAGCTACGCTAGAATATATTAATAAGTCAAATATCTATATGTGATAAATATTGTATAAATATATTTAATAGCATAATAATTTATATGGAAAGGGGACAATAGTAGTTCAGGCCAATCCAATCTTATTTTCTATTCTTTAGGAATTTTTTTATTCCAAAAGTAAAAATTTGGAGCTGAAAGCTTTGCAAAGAGCTACATGTGCCAAGTAAGCCTATTTTTTGTTTAGAAATAAAAAATTACCAAGAAATGGTATCTAACATTTTGATAGGTGTTCCGAATCCTGAAGAACTAATATTTGGTTTGGCCTAGGCTGTGATATATCAATGTACCATAAATATAATAACTTTATTTTGTCATGTGATAATATTCTATAGCATAGAAAAATGTACATGTATACTCAAATGTTAATCAAGAAATTAAAGACAAATTGTTCACATTTATTTCAAAAGTTAAAAATATTTGATTGTTTAAAGATACATTATGCAAGAGCAAAATCGGCCTATTGTAGGTCTTTCTTTAGGCCTGAAATGGTATAAAAACTATTAATTAGACATTAATTAACTTATCCAGACCATAATCAGCTCTCGATGTCAAGGTTTGCCTGCGATATTTGTTGGATTACAGTCCGATTTGCTGCAAAACTTTCCTTCGTGATTAACGATTAAATGGATAATCAAGACTATTAGTTTTGTCTTATTGACTTCAGTAATGATGATCGAGGCTAAGCGGAACTTTCATCCGCTTAGTTCTCGGTTCATAGTGGATCAATTTGACTGAAATTTTCAGCAAGTTGCCTTTACATTATGTAGTTTTTAACTATTATAGTGAGAACTGCCAACTCGTTATCTAATCTCCCATAATGCATGTTTAAGTGGCATTGTTGAATGAGCATAAGCTTGATAAAGGCGAGAGAATCATCGTCGAAACGTCGCTGAAATGAACCCTTTCAGTAACTTGTATTCCATATAATTGTGTCATGTGTTATTAAAAATATTGTACTGTTTTTTTAAAGATGTGAAATGAAATGAGGTTTTAGAAACGTCCTACTTTTCGGCACTGACTGGGCTAATGAAGATGGGCAGGCACCATGCAGTGTGCCATGGGGGAAATTTTGCCCAGACAGCATCGCTACTCATACATATCAAATTCCAACTGTCAAGGGTTCTTTTACGTGCACGCCAATGTGTACCGAGGATCTCGGTTTTTCCTCCCATCCAAACAACTACTGTATTAATGTAAAGATGGTTATTTTATGATTAAGAACTAGCAGGATGCCCGGCTTCGCTCGGGGGTCATAACTCCGAAACCGGAAGTGGTAGACTAACGCCACCTGGCCTATGTTACTCCCCGGTCCGAGCTACCCCTATTCCCCAAATTTCAGACTCGGGGCAGACCTAGTGTAGCCGCCAACCCCAGACAGACAGACAAACAGACGGACAAACGACAGTCACAAATATTAGTATAGATAGATAGATGTGATAGTTTTAGCCGATTAAAAAACCTCTCGTGAATGATGGGCTAAGTTGTAGGATAAAGATAACCTAAGGATTATTACTGTATCTGTCTAAGGTGGCTAAGACGCTGGCTCGCTAGCCTGGAGGTCGCATGTTTGATCCCTGCATTGGCCGAGAAAGTTCATTGGGATTTTCCGACGCGTTCCCTTGTCAGTGTTGCAGGACAGCTGTCTAGTCGATTGGATGGGACAAAAAAAACGAGTGTAGTGTATGCAATTGCGTACATGCACATGTAAAAGATCCCTTGGCAGATGGAATTTGATATATAAGAGTAGGCCATAGTGCCGCGGCCTGGTGCCTCATAGCACACTGTATGGAGTATGCCTGTCTTTATTAGTCCAGTCCGAGCAGAACAGTAGGATGTTAAACCCCATTTCATTTCATTTTTTTATCTAATTGGTCGTAAGTTAAGTTTGAAATGATTGATTTGAATAATGTTTGGAACATAATGGTAATTTGGTTAAATTATTAATAAATACTCTTGATTGTTTATCATCTTAGAGATGCATAAAACAAGAGATAAATCTGACAATTGTGGGTCATTTTAGACGTTTATTCACATGAGAAGCGTATATAATGAACTCTCTCGAGATGTAAATGGATTTGAACACCAGTGAAAAATTTAAGGATAAAATGAATAATCGAAACATACTCTCCATTGTCAAGTACTGTTACTGCAATAATAAAGAATCTACACTTCATCTTCAAATACTCATAACTTCGCTCAGGATATAGTAATTTCAATTTCGGCTCTTTATCAAAATCTTTCCTAATTCATCTTAAAGTAGCCAAGTCTCTAACTCAATATCATCCCAAGTCTTCGACATTGAAAACACAAATTATTTGTCAATTTAAATCAACATTGATGTTGTGATGTTACTGGGAAAAGATGGGCGTATGATATCCAATATTTAAGACAAAATAAACAGCGCCATTTGTAACAAGGGACTCGAAGAACAAGGCTAGACATATCCCACAAGTCTTGTCAAACTGACGACATATGCTTATCTGGAGATCATGCGCAATAAAAATTATATCGGTGTAGACTGGAATAGCCAGACACTAGAGACTGCCATTCGATTGAGGCGTATTTCTCCGAACATAACTAATTTGAAATTAGAGTAAAAACGGAAACGATTAAATGTAAATCAGTTTATATACATTCATATTACATTAAACATGCATTATGCAAGAGCTAAATCTGCCTGTCGCAGGTCTTTCTTTAGGCCTGAAATCTTGTCTAAATTATTAATTAGACATTAATTAACTTATCCAGACCATAATCAACTCTCGATGTCAAGGCTAGTCTTCGATATCGACTGGATTAGAATCCTATATGCTGCAAACGCTCATTGCTAATTAAATCAAAACATTGGATAATCGAGACTATGCTTTTTAACGTACTAACTTTAGTAATGATGAACGAGACTAGGCGGAAATGTACAAAGCTGATATCTCGGTTCATAGTGGACCAATTTGACTGAAATTTTCAACAAATTACATTTACATTATCTAGTTTTTTATACGCCCACATTGAAATGTGGTCGTATATTGTCGTCACCCCCGTCCGTCCGGCGTCCACAATTGCTTGTGGACGCTCTAGAGGCTAAAGTTAATATCTGATTGACTTTAAATTTATACACAGTGTTTAAGGTCTTGAGACAAAGAAGCCTATTGATTTTCAGCGATTTCCGATAATTACTGCCAGAGTTATGGCCCTTGATCACTTCAAAAAATCTTGTGGATGCTCTAATGGCCAAAGTTAATATCCATTTGACGTTAAATTTATACACAATGTTTAAGGTCATGAGACGAAGAAACCTATTGATTTTCAACGATTTCCGATAATTACTGCCAGAGTTATGGCCCTTGATCACTTCAAAAAATCTTGTGGATGCTCTAGAGGCTAAAGTTAACATCCGATTGACATTAAATTTGTACACAGTGTTTAAGGTCATAAGATGATGAAGACTATTGGTTTTCAGCGATTTCTGATAATTACTGCCAGAGTTATGGCCCTTGATCACCCTGAAAAATCTTGTGGATGCTCTAGAAGCGAAAGTTAATATTCGATTGACTTTAAATTTATACACAGTGTTTAAGGTCATGAGACGAAGAAGCCTATTGATTTTCAGCGATTTCCAATATTTGCTGCCAGAGTTATGGCCCTTGATCACTTTGAAAAATCTTGTGGATGCTCTAGAGGCCAAAGTTAATATCCGATTGACTTTCAATTTATACACAGTGTTAAAGGTCATGAGACGAAGAAGCCTATTGATTTTCAGCGATTTCCGATAATTACTGCCAGAGTTATGGCCCTTGATCACTGCAAAAAATCTTGTGATGCTCTTGAGGCTCAAGTTAATATCCGATTGAGTTTAAATTTATACACAGTGTTTGAGGTCATGAGACGAAGATTCCTATTGATTTTCAACGATTTCCGATAATTACTGCCAAAGTTATGGCCCTTAAGTTATCATCCGATTGACTTCAGATTGATACACAGAGTTTAAGATCTTGAGACGAACAAGTATATTGATTTTCAATGAATTTTTATAACTTGAACAGTTAAATCTATGATATTAAAAGCTTTGCATACAAAACGTTAGCATGAGGCAGAACTTTATAAAAACCAAACAAATTCTAATAGTTTTCTGATAATTACTTCGTGAGTTGTTGCTCTTAATCAGATTTTAGTGTATTATAAATGTTTCATTACCGAAAAAAGTAAAAATATGTGACAACCCTTGTTGACTGCCCGGACGATTTAGTTGCTGTGGGCATATGTTTCGTTGCCTGGCAACCTATCTTAACTATTATAGCGAGAACTGTCAGCTCTTTATCTAATCTCCCATAATGTATCTTTAATATATGCGTTGTGACCCATTTGTGTCAATTTCTAGGTCCCAATATTAATGTCCTGATGCACCAGGCATCACTTCGAATATTGTGAACGGTGAATCTCTAAAGCCAGGCCCATACCGCTACGACTACACACAAGCCGACAGGACTCGGCGTCTTGGGTAGTTGTAAAAAAAAAAAATCGGGTCGCGCCATTACTTCACTTGTCTACGACGGTACCAGTCCACACAGGCCCGACTCTCACAGATTATGCGTCGTGAGTTACGCCACTTCCCTCTAGCGAGTGATTCCAAAAGTAAACCGGAAGCATAAAAGTGACATTATATTTTGCCATTTTGCCATATTTTGCCAGTTAAACTAGGAGCACATGACCTGCACAGTCACATGACTAAATGCTACTCTCTGATTGGCTAAACATCAGTAAGACAATCGATCGTGTCGTGTGAGTGTCCACACAAACACGATAAGTTATGACTGCAACCAACTGCATCCGACTACGATTGAACATGTTCAATCGGGTCTACGGGCCACGACGCGACGGAAATCGATTGAATCGTGGTCGTGGGACTGTCCACACTGCACTGATTATCTGAGACAAGACGTTGCGTTGGGTAGAGTCTGTATATATCAGATTCCTATCAAAAATATTCAGCTGTTGGTTTTGCCAAGAAATTGAAATATATAAATATTTACTGATGAACAAATATAATTACATTCTGATATTATGATTGTTGTATCTGTAACTATTTACTGTAAGAACCCTGGTAAAATATTTAGGAAATGAAATGAAATGAGGTTTAACGTCCTAATGTTCTGCTCCAACTGGGCTAATGAAGACAGGCATACGCCATACAGTGTGCTATGAGGGAAATTTTGCCTGGGCAGCGGCGCTACGGCCTACTCTTATATCGAATTCCAACTGCCAAGGGATCTTTTACGTGCACGTTAATTTGTACAAGGAACCTTGGTTTTTCGTCCCATCCGAACGACAAGACAACTGTCCTTGTCAGGCCCTCCATCCTGCGTCACTGACAAGGGGAAACCACGCTGGAAAATCTGAATGAACTTTCTCAGCCAATGCAGGGATCGAACACCAAATATTTAGGAACCCTGATGTGCTTCTTTGAGTGGCATTTCGCAGACAATTACTATTTTAATTAGAGAACACTCAACATTACCTGGTTTTAATTAAAATAGTAAATGTGTTTCATATTATGATTTTGTAACATCCACGCGACCCAAACTAGGTCATTTTGGGACTAACATATGGTTCAATTTTATTTCAATAATTTGCTTGCACGTAGGGATATATAGCAGTGGGAGGAACCCGGAGAAAACCCACGAGTTTGGACAGACGTCCTTGTCACGTATAACTGGAGATTCGAAAATACTCCAGGTGGCTCAATAACAGACCTTATGATATAACGCGCACGTGCTAACCATTCGGACACTGATGTTGACTTTAAACGAATATTAATGTATTCGTCAGGATTCCCCAGTTGTATGTGACAAGACAAGGAGTAGGGTCGTGGGTTTTCTACGGGTCGTCCGGTTTCCTCCCACTGCTAAAGACCCCTAAGGACAAGCGAAAAATTGAAATTAAATTGAACCATATGTTAGTCCCAAAATGACCAGTTTATGTCAAGTGAACGTTAAACCCCATTTCTCTCCCTGTATTCTTGAGGTGATTTATCTTATACATATATGCCAGTCGTAACAGCTTATGTTAAAAATGGACAGATGTGTTTATCTCCTAATAGAATAATAAAGTTAATTGAGAATCTTATCCAATGACCAGAATAGGTCCATTGTTTTGTTATTCTGTATTTGAACACCCTTGTATTCTCATTTTCTAGAACAAAGTGTATACAGAGAGAGAAATGGGGTTTAACATTCATTCAACACAAACTAGGTCATTTCGGGACTAACATTTGGTTCAATTTTATTTCAATAACTCGCTTGTGCATTAGGGGTCTTTAGCAGTGGCAGGAGTCTGGGCAGGACCCGGAGAAAACCCATGAGATTTGACAGGCGACCCTACTCTTTGTGACATACAAACAGGAAATAAAGTGTATAAAAGAGATTAATTTGATTTAGGGATAAGAATTACTACTTGTCGACTCAACTATGGTATCAAGATAACTTAAAGACAAAATAATGGGAGATAACCCCATTTTTTGCTGGCTACCTGCACTCCTCACATTTATTCCTCCTTATAAAATGAAATCAAATTGAACTTCCTCCTTTTCTGAACCAACTTGGCTAATCACGAGGGGCATACAGTGTGTCGGGAGGTAAATTTTGTCCAAGTAGCGGCACAATGGTCTACTCTTATTTTGAATTCCAACTGTCAAAGATTCTTTTAAGACTAGATGTTGACCTTCGTCTTGCATCCTGGGAACCAGGCTGGAAAATCTTGAGGAACTTTCTAGGTCAACTCCAGGATCGCTCCTGTTTAGTGAGCCAGCGACTTACTCACACAAACCACATCCGTGGTCGTATATTGCTGTCCGCCCGTCTGTCGGTCGGTCCGTCGTCCACAATTTCTTGTGAACACTCTACAGACCACATTTATCATCTGATTGTTTTGAAATTGATATATGTTGTTTGCATTAGTGAGATGAAAATGCCTATTTAATTTCAATAATTTCCGTTAATTACATCTAGAGTTATGGCCCTTGTTTCACTTTGTTGAATCTTGTGAATGCTCTAATGATAACAGTTATCATCCGATCTGTTTGAAATCTATATGCATCATTTAAATTAGTGCAACGAAGAAGCCTATTGAATTTCAGCAATTTCCGTTAATTACATCTAGAGTTATGGCCCTTGTTTCACTTTGTTGAATCTTGTGAATGCTCTAACGACAAAAGTTATTATCCGATCTGTTTGAAATTTATATGTATCGTTTGAATTAGTATATCAAACAAGCCCACTGAGTTTCAGCAAATTTCCGTTCCTTACATCTAGAGGTATGGCCCATGTTTCACCTTGTTGCGTCTTGTGAACGCTTGAATGACAAAAGTCACCCAATCTGTATGAAATTCATATGCATGATTTAAATTAGTGGAATGAAGAATCCTATTGAATATCAGCAATTTCCGTCAATTACTTCTAGAGTTATGGCCCTTGTTTTACTTTGTTGAACCTTGTGAATGTTCGAATGACAAAAGTTATCATCCAATCTGTATGAAATTTAGTTGCATTATTTGAATTTGTAAAACGAAAAAGCCTGTCAAATTTCAACAATTTCTGTATATTACTTTCAAAGTTAAAGCCCTTGTTTTAGTTTTTAGAACCTTGTGAACCTTCAAACGATGAAAAAATCATGTCATCTGTATGAAATTGTCTATTAAATGCCCCTAATTACCTACAAAAGAATAAATATGCGACAACCCTTGTCGACCGCTCGGACAATTTAGCTGCTGTGGGTGTATGTTTTGTTGCCTGGCAACCTATCTTTGAAGGAATTCTAATTGGCTACAATCTGTAATCACGCCCATGCAAGGGCCGTGAAGACTCATAACTTGTCAGGGGTATTGTCTAGTCGTTTGTTGGAGGCAATAAAACAAGGTCAGTGAGTACACACTGCATGTATAACAGCCCTAGACAGTTGGAATTCGATAAAAAAAAAAATCGGTGGAAACATTTATGTACTGTGTTGACAAGACCGGATTCCATTCCCATTATGTCGGAGATATAAATATTGTATAATTATTCTGATGAGAGAGAAGGAGAGAGAAATGGGATATAACATCCAATCGACACATACTTGGTAATTTTGTGTAGGTGTCTTTAGCAGTGGGTGGAAACCGGTGGACCTGGAGAAAACCCACGAGGTTGGAAAGGCGACCCTACTCCTAGTCATGTGAAACTGGGGAATCGAAACTATGTCAGTTGACTCAATGACAGACCTTATGATACAGTGCGCACGCGCTAACCATTTGGCCATCCAACCTCTAATGAAATAACTCCAACACAAATTGAAGATAAAATATTTTTATTTTATAGAAATTTGTTTTGTATTTTTTTGTTTAATGTCATCAATAGAAATGCAACTATTTTACACAAAATATATACAATGTTTGTTTCAACTTCTAGTACACAATTACACTGGTGGGTTGATGTAACAAGGTATTATATAGATAGATAGATGTCACCCACAGCCATATATAGACAGAGTCTGTCAACACAGCCATATATAGACAGAGTAATATATAGACAGGTGTCACCATAGCGATATATAAATAGGTGTCACCATAACCATATATTGACAGTGCCATATATAGGATACCACAACCATATATAGACACTATACAGTGTCTGGGGCCTAAATCACCAATACTTCAAGCCAATTATTTTAAGAATGCAATCATTTTATTGGTTGAGACTTAAGATCCTGACCAATAAAATTATTGAATTCTTAAAAAAAAAAAAAATTTTGTGAATAATGTCTAAGACTGTGATGAATTAACTCCTTACTGCGGGTACAGATGATGGAAGGAAGAATCTATTGATTAGCTAACAAAATAGGCTGTTTTGGTCTGGGCTCTGTTTCTCGAAATCTTAACTAAAGATAAAATCCAAATTTTAGTAGATACTTCAATTTTGTATGGCTAATCACTAAAATCAATCTAATATTATCCAATCAAATTACTAAAATTTGTATTTTATCTTAGTTAAAATTTTGTGAAACAGGACCCAGATCTATATTTCGTTTCATTTTTTTTTATACTTTTGATGGCCTACACTACATGAAGATCTGACCGGTTGTAGTGGAAAGTCATGTCAGGGGTTGCACAAGTGGCTTTTGACCCTATGATGTCAGACATTGATTAATCAATCAGCGTTGAGGTTTCTATTTGTTTACCCACAGTTATGTGCAATCGCACACCAAGAACTCACCGTAATAGACCGTTTTACTGGCTAATCACTCATTTCAACCAGAATGCCGATAAAATAACAACTCTTGCAGATCCTAGGTGCAGTAAAGAAAAGTAAAATGAAATTTTGAACTATAAAAAACGAATCGAAATAGGATCTGTGTTTTAATCAGCTTGATACAAAACTATCATTTATATAGTTCTAATGTTGATGTATTAGAACTACACACCAACAGAATGGCGACCATGACTGAAATTGGCCATACTCTCTTTATATATGGCTGTGAATGTCACAAGTGTGATGAAATAAAACTTACAACTAATTCAAGTCGTACACAAAAGGTGAAAAAGTGGAAGTGAAATTTTTTTATAAATCGGGAGGTACCGATGTGGGTGGGGAGGGAGCCTGGTGTACCAAGCTTCCAAAAAGGGTGGGGGAGGGAGCCTAGTGTACCAAGCTTCTAAAACGTGTTGCAAGTGAGCTGAAGAGACATAAAAAAAAATATCTATCTAAAATGGGGTACATGATTTGATAGGGGCTGGGGAGAGTCAACAACCTTCCAAAAGTGTGATACATTGTAACTGCGATGTTCAAACATATCATTATGGAAGGGCAAGCACTCGTGTGGTATATTGTAACTTGGATGTTCAAGTCTATAATTATGGAAGGGCAAGCCTTCAGTGTGGTACATGTATATTATAACTTGGATGTTCACGTCTATCATTATGAAAGAATAAGCACTCAGTATGGTTTATTGTAACTTGGACGTTCAAGTCTATAATTATGAAAGAGTAAGCACTCAGTGTGGTATATTGTAAATTGGATGTTCAAGTCTATCATTATGAAACAGTAAGCACTCAGTGTGATACATTGTAACTTGGATGTTCAAGTCTATCATTATAAAAGGGCAAGTACTCTGTCTCAAAAAGATGTCTGCGATATCACTTTAGTGGAAGCTGATGTTAAATAAAGCTATTTCACAGGTCTCAAAAAGTGATGCTCCCAAAGTCAAAGGAGTAGGAGAGATAATTCATGTCTCAAGGCAAGCAATGAAATTCTTGTGTTTAATTATGGGGAGCTTGTTTGTTTATACATTTATAGGGTCCAGTTGGTTACTCTTATGTAGGCAGTTACATATGGGGACCGTTTTTTTATACATTTATAGGATCCATTTGGTAAAACTTTAACTAAGTATAAATAAAACATTAAATGCTATTCTTCATTCACATGCATCACAATAATAAAATGCATAAATTCCATCACAAGTTTCACAATAGTCACAAAAATAAATTCTGATCAAAAGACAATTTATGTTTAAAGAATTTAAAGAATGATATCAGATTAATGTGAGAAATACTAATATTCTCAACAACATTGTGCTTATTTCCAGGTCAATTTCACAAAATTCCATCCATAAAAAATCAAGAGCTATACCATGTGTGTATCCTTTGAACAATTCATACATTATTTGTCAAATGACTGGTTGCATTCGTCTTTTAATACCCAAGTCAAGATCACCAGGCCTCATTAAAACAGCAAATCGGAACAAGCGTATCACATAGATGTAAATCAAGACAAACACTAATGGCAACTGCCACAGATCACATGTGCAGAACCAATCATTCTAGCGATATTATAAGGTTTCGCAAGTCACAGATGCGGAACCAATCATGTCCAAGTTATTATAAGGTTCCGTAAGTCACAGATGTGGAACCAATCATATCCGAGATATTATAAGGTTCCGCAAGTCACAGATGCGGAACCAATCATGTCCCAGATATTATAAGGTTCCACAAGTCACAGATGTAGATCCAATCACATCTGAGATATTATAAGGTTTTGCAAGTCACAGATGTGGATCCAATCACGTCTGAGATATTATAAGGTAACAGATGTGGAACAAATCCTGACAACAGAAATGTCATGAATTTTACAATGGCTACCCTATAAAACAGCCCTGGTTTATGATGATGGATAATTTTGCGATGATTATCAACTAGAATGAAATAATTGTTTTTGCCATACAAACAAATTGTATAGAAGATATAATATCCATGGTTTCAAAGAGAGCTATAGTAAATTTATTATAATTAAATTTCAAATTAATTTAGCAATGACTTTATAGATTCTGGAGCTGCCCTGACAAAATTCTTTCCCACTATTATATATATATGTTTTGATGGAACATGTTTTAATCCACTTTGCGTATATAAAAATACAAAGTAAAAATCCGAGACTAACAGATCTCTACCAACAAGCAATCTACACGAACATCTAACACCAACAAATCGTGACACGGGGGAAAGGGGAGACAACCAGTTGATCACTCACTGTCTCACCTTCCTTTATATAAAACCTAACACTATAACCTGGGTATCATTTCATCTTGCGTATTTAGTCCTAATTTCTTTCACATTCATTCAATTTCAAATCTTGTAAAAATCATCATAAATCACCCAATTAACCAGTCAGCTTTAATCTAGATGATTTTACAAAGATTTGACAAATGAAAAAATGTTATGCTCCGACTGGGCATTTTGTCTTATATTGAATTCAAACTGCCAAGGGATCTTTAACGTGTATGCTAATGTGTAAACGGGATCTCGGTTTTTCGTCAAACCGTATAACTAGACATTGTCCCTTGTCAGGCCCTCTATCCTGCACCACTGACAGAAAATCCCAATGAACTTTCTGGGCCAAAGTTGGGATCGAACACGGGACCTCCAGGTTAGCGAGCCACCGTCATACCCACTGAGCCACAATGGCTCTACAACGATTTGATTAAATGATACCCAGGTTAAAGTGTAATATCCTTAAATGACATTTAGAAGTAGAGATATAACATTTACAATAACACAACTTTCTGGATTTACTACTTCTTGGTTTATTACATGCAACGTTTCAATTTCAAATTGAATACTCGTACAAAGATACAAGTACCTGTTACAGTACTGAAACGTTAATCCATTTCAAATCCATAAACTTGTGTTATTATTAATATATAACATCTACATCAAAGAGAAAGTCTGTTTGTGGGTTCTCTATCGGAAATCAAATGCTTGAACTTATAAAAGATAACTTTATAGTAACCATTTCTTTACAAGGACTATAATGGTGCTATTTATTTTATATTTGGTGCTGTTTTTCCACGATGAAATTGACAATTAATGATTATATAACATGGACATTAAAAATATTCTAGAACATATTTTTCTTTACTGACCTATTATCTTCTAGCAAATTCTGAACTCCAAATCAAAATTATATAAAGCAGACACAAAAGTTCAACAGCAGGGCCCTGTTTCTCGAAATCTTAACTAAAGATAAGATCCCAATTTTAGTAGATACTTCAATTTTGATTGGCTAAGTACTAAAATCAATCTAATATTATCCAATCAAACTACTAAAATTTGGATTTTATCTTAGTTATAATTTCGTGAAACAGGCCCCTGGTAATTAAGCCAGGTACATGTACACAAAAATAGTGCAATAAGGCCGGTGGGTAAGATTACCAAAGGTAAAATCATTTGTTATTATTTTATTCCTCAATGAAATTTCATCAACATGGTAGCCATAGTCAATTTGATAATTAATAACTCGGAAGATCACACACACACACAATTCCCACGCCCATTTTAGTGAAGTTGCCAAAGAAGTGATTTAGTTTATGCTACGTTCCCACTGTTGTCCGATGCGTTACGATAGGATTGTCCCGAATGAGTCCAAGATCTGCTACGGGCAGGTACGTTCGGATACGTTCAACGCGAGTGCTACGACTGACCTCAATATATAAGACATGATAGGATCACCACGATTACTTCATGATTTCAATCATATCACGAATCGTGATAGTGGAAGCCTAGCATTAAGTAGGACAGAAATGGAGTTAAATGTCTCCTCAACGAAATAGTTCCATCATTTTCAGACTAAACAAAAAGTTAAAATAGCATTATGAAAAATTTAGATATAAAGCTGGCCATTCTTGCTATAATAGTTCCAAAATAGGTCATTCAAAATTAATATATTGAAAATTTAATTCTAATTACTTTATTTTGAGCGATGTTATCACTGTTTGAAGTTTACATCTGCGCCATCCGATGGCCTAAAGGGTTGATTATAGGTTGTCATGTTAATAAATGTCGAAATAATAATTTATATAACATTTGAAGTCAAAATAAAACCCTGTAATAGACAGATTTAGCTCTTACAGATTTATGCATCTTTAATTTTTTTCTACCTTCAAGTGTGTAATGCTAGGAAGGAGAAATTTGCCAAGGCAGCAAGTGGACCACGAATTTCTATCCCTTCCCAATGATTAGGCAACACCATCCGAATTTGCTTTCCTTATCAGGCCCCCAGTCGCTTTCCTTAGCAGGCCTGCAGTCCCTTTCATTATCAGGCCAGCAGTAGCTTTCCCGCACAAGTGGGAACTTGGCTTGAAAAATCCCAATTCTAATGAATAATTCAGTGTCTAAACAATCAACTATCACAGTATCATGTTCATCTCATGTATCTATCAAGAGTTGTCTTTTCATTCTTTATCTTACGAAACAAAAGTTGTCTTTCCGTGGAAACGGTTCCAACCCATAAAAGTATGTCTGATAAAATGGTTGACCCATCCGGGTGGAAAAGGCTTCATTAAAAACCGCCATTTTGATTTTTATCTCACTGTCGCATTCCAGTGAACCAGGAAAAGTTTATAAAAGCCGTCTTATGACGGCAGACGCATAAAGTTTATCTAAGGATGAGGTCAGAATCACACACAATATAAAACATTAAAAAAAAAAAAAAAAAAAAAAAATCAAAATAATTTACAAGACGTCACAACGATAAAGCTGCTTCTGGTGAGACCTGACATATATTTCGTTACATGAACAGAAAATGGCGTAGCATAACGTCGCCGTTAGATGAATGATTTTCACAAGGATGATTACTATATAACATAATGAACAACATTATAATCAAATAAAGAAACCAAAATCACCATGACAACCAGATATAGTCGCGCTAGATTTATACAGTTTATAGCTGATACCGTTATTTATCTTCTCAAAATAATCTGAACAAAGTCGACACCGCTGGAGGACATATTGCTTAATGATTTTTCAGTTAGAATTGACTAAACTTTTCCAGATATTTCAAGCAGCTATTGGCATTTGCTTGACTTAGATTTGATATCGGCAATTTGTGCTCTTAGAGAAATGGGGTTTAACGTCCACTCGACACAAACTAGGTCATATCAGGACTAACATATGGTTCAATTTTATTTCAATATTTCACTTGCGCGTAGGGGTCTTTAGCAGTGCGACCCTACCCCTTGTCTCGTACAACCGGACAATCAAAACTACGCCAGTTGACTCAATGACAGACCTTATGATACAGCGCGCGCACGTGCTAACCATTCAGTCATCCGTGCTCTCACAGATCTCGGCAAATTTATGTGTTGGTTGTTTTTTTGTTCTGTATTTGTGTCTTTTGGGGTGAAGTTCTATATCGTTTAATTCTTAAAATAATTATGTTTACACAACATGATCTCCAGCGGTGACGCCACCGACAGTTAAATGCACTCATGAGTACCTTTTTTGGCAGTTGTTAAAAAAAATAACAAAAACAACATCAAACAGATTATTTTGAAGTGATAAATAAAAAGATAAGCTATAATGAAATAAATCTCTTTTTTCTGTACATATAAACATGTGGACCTATTATTCAGACATAGGGTCAAAGGTCACTCTCTACTGTATATATATATATATCAGATTGTCTTTAAGCTTATAGATAAACACACATCAGTTATTAAAATTAAACAAGGGGCAGAACTGTAGGTAGTCATGGTTTCTATCTTTATAACAATTAATTTGATTGGTTGACTTGACGACCATTCTGTACATCTTGGTGATATGAGAGATAACTCTAATTTAAGCCCACATCCTGAAAGTAATTAAACAAAAAGGTGTTTAAAATTATCGCCTAATCTTTTGGTTGTATTACGCCATTTCTCGCTTCCAACAGATTCACTTTTCTGTGAAAGGATATTCAATTACCAGTACTTCACGTTAAAGATGCGCTTTTGCTCCTGTTCCTTTCAACACACCTTCGCGGGATAGTCAGGGCTATTAAAATACTGAATGTTGAGCTTTATACAAATCTTCTCCAGCTATACAAATGAAATGAAATGGGGTTTAACGTCCTACTGGTCTGACGGAACTCGGCAAATAAAGAGGGGCATACGCCATACAGTGTGCTATGAGGGAAACTTTGCCCTGACAGCGGCACTACAGTCTACTCTTATATTGACTTCCAACTGCCAAGGGATCTTTTATGTGCACGCCAATCTGTACACAGGGCCTTGGGGTTTTCTTCCCGTCCTATCCGAACAATTAGACAGCTGTTCTTGTCAGGCCCTCTGTCCTGCATCACTGACAAGGGGTAACTTTGTCAACCAATGCAGGGATCGAACACCCGACATCCAGGCTAGCGAGCCAGTGTCTTACCCACTTAGCCACCGTGATCCCCTCAGCGTTATAGAATACGATTATTATTATTATAGATCTCATACAGAAGGAAGAGTTAGTGCAGGAAGTGGCAGAGAGTTTTGTAAAGACTTGACAATGAAGCCAATATGCCAATTCTAGATTAACCAGACCTTTTAGATACAAAATGCTTGTCAATAAAGAAACGAAACTCTCTACCACATTCTGCATTAACCTACCTGATTAAAATATAGATTGATATTTCGTTTTGTTTTTTCATACTTTCGATGGCCTACACTACATGAAGATCTGACCAGTTGTACTGGAATGTCGTGTCGGGTCATACGAGTTGCGCTTGACCCTATGACGTCAGACATTGATTAATCAATCAGCGCTGACGTTTCTAGTGGTTTACCCACAGTTCCCTGCATAGCATGCCAAGAAGTCGCTATAACAGACCGTTTCATTGGCTAATCCCTCACTTCAACCAGAACGCCGGTAATATGTTATAGATCATAGTGTAGTAAAGACAAGTAAAACGAAATTTTGAATTATAAAAAAACAAAACTAAATAGGATCTGTGTTTTAATCAGATTAGTCCCGAAATGAGTGGACATTAAACTTTCTCTCTCTGAAATTTAAACTTACTCCAATTTATTTACACGATGAGATCTGTATTGACTGTTATCTCAGTGAACACTATTCTCACTAGTAGTACGACTACGAGTTGTTTCCACTACTTCCTCGTCTCCTTCTCGTCTTTCACGTGGTTTCCCTACACCAAATATACTAGAATTACGCTCACTATGTACCACTTCGTTAATAGGAGCGGGTTTACTTCTTGGTAATAATTTAAGTTTAGGTCGAGCCGCTGCAGATTCTGTAATAAACCATCAAAATGTTAAAGATACATTATGGGAGATTCGATAACGAGTTGGCAGTTCTCACTATAATAGTTAAAGATAGGTTGCCAGGCAACGAAACATACGCCCACAGCAACTAAATCGTCCGGGCAGTCAACAAGGGTTGTCGCATATTTTTACTTTTTTCGGTAATGAAACATTTATAATACACTAAAATCTGATTAAGAGCAACAACTCACGAAGTAATTCTCAGAAAACTATTAGAATTTGTTTGGTTTTATAAAGTTCTGCCCCATGCTAACGTTTTGTATGCAAAGCTTTTAATATCATGGATTTAACTGTTTAAGTCATAAAAATTCATTGAAAATCAATATACTTGTTCGTCTACAGATCTTAAACTCTGTGTATCAATCTGAAGTCAATCGGATTATAACTTCAGCCTTTAGCGCATCACAAGATTTTGCAAAGTGATCAAGGCAGTAATTATCGGAAATCGTTGAAAAACAATAGGAATCGACCTCAAACACTGTGTATAAATTTAAACTCAATCGGATATTAACTTTAGCCTCTAGAGCATCCACAAGATTCTTTGAAGTCATCAAGGGCCGTAACTCTGGCAGTAATTATCGGAAATCACTGAAAATCAATAGGCTTCTTCATCTCATGACCTTAAACACTGTGTATAAATTAAAAGTCAATCAGATATTAACTTTGGCCTCTAGAGCGTCCACAAGATTTTTCAAAGTGATCAAGGGCCATAACTCTGGCAGTAATTATCGGAAATCGCTGAAAATCAATAGGCTTCTTCGTCTCATGACCTTAAACACTGTGTATAAATTTAAAGTCAATCGGATATTAACTTTGGCCTCTAGAGCGTCCACAAGATTTTTCAAAGTGATCAAGGGCCATAACTCTGGCAGTAATTATCGGAAATCGTTGAAAATCAATAGGCTTCTTCATCTCGTGACCTCAAACACTGTGTACAAATCTATGGTCAATTGGATATTAACTTTGGCCTCTAGAGCATCCACAAGATTTTTCAAAGTGATCAAGGGCCATAACTCTGGCAGTAATTATCGGAAATCGCTGAAAATCAATAGGCTTCTTCGTCTCAAGACCTTAAATACTGTGTATAAATTTAAAGTCAATCAGATATTAACTTTAGCCTCTAGAGCGTCCACAAGCATTTGTGGACGCCGGCCGGACGGACGGACGGGGGCGACGACAATATACGACCACATTTCAATGTGGGCATATAAAAACTAGATAACGTAAAGGCAATTTACTGAAAATTTCATTCAAATTAATCCACTATGAACCGAAAACTAAGCGAATGAAATTTCTGCCTAGCCTCGGTCATCATTACTAAAGTCAGTACGATGAACAGCATAGTCTCGATTATCTATTTAATCATTTAATCGAGAAGGAAAGTTATGCAGTAAATCGGCTCACAATCCACTTAAGATCGCAGGCTAGCGAGGCCATCTAGAGTTGATTATGGTCTGGATAAGTTAATTAATGTCTAATTAATAATTTAGATAACATTTCAGGCCTAAAGAAAGACCTACAATAGACAGATTTAGCTCTTGCATAATGTATGTTTAAATGAAATGAAATGGGGTTTAACGTCCAACTGGGCGAATGAAACGGGTATACGACATAGAGTGTGATATGAGGTAAATTTTGCCTGGACAACGGCGCTACAGCATACTCTTATATAGAATTCCATCTGGCGAGTGTTCTTTTACACGAACGCCAAGGTGTACAGAGGACCATGTTTTTTTTTGTCCCATCAGAACTTCTAGACAGCAGTGCTTATCAGACCTCCGTACAAACAAATTTATTTTACACCCACAGTTCTGTATGTCATCTCGTCAAATTATTCTTATGAAAGTTTTAGGCTACAAAAGTTTTTATTTAATTTGTGGGGATTGTTTACATGGCCTGAAGAACAAACACCATATAAATCCAGATTTAAAGATACATCATGTAAGATTTAGATAAAGAGCTAACATTTCTCGGAAAAATAGCTTAAAAATCAATAATGAAAAAGAAATATATTGAAAATTTCAGTCAAATTACTTCATTCTGAGCGAAGTTATCAATGTTTGAAGGATATCATAATCTTGATTTTCATTGCCACTGTTATTACGATAATAAACACAGTCTTGATTAACCATTTCTAAATTAAAATTTCAATGGCGACCATGTTTCAATCCTTTCCAAATCACAACCATCTAATATCTAGGGAGTTGATTATGGGCTTGGCATGCCAATAAATGTCAATTAATAATTTATATATGACATTTGAGGCCAAAAGAAAGACAGATTTAGCTCTTACATAATGCACATTTAAGTAACACTGAAAGGAATTCTTAAAATTGTTTTACTGAAGTTAAAGGCTCAATACCACTCTTGTTGTAACTGAATAATATGTCCCAATCTTTATTCTAGTCAACAAATTGTACTATTTTACAATATTCCAATTAATTGATGATACAAATTTCATCTTAACACACCTAATTTAAAAAATTGGAAAAATTCAACTAAATGATTTGAAAAGCCTGACGTAAAGCTTTTCAAATGTGACTTGGATTTAAAAATATTTTTGAACCCTCTGGACTAGTAAAATAGGATTTAGTGGATAATTTACACAACAGGTAGGACACTAACATATCTAGTACTTAGAATAAGGCTATTTTTTATTTTCTGGAGCTGTCAAGCCAGCAAGAGTGTTATTGTCCCTTTAAACAACATTCTTCTGGTTTTAAATTTGTTTTAATCTTAAAAAAAAGATAACTAACCTGCTGTCGGTTCCACTAATTCAGGATCGTTAAAACTATCATGTCTAGGTCTGGAATCTCTTCCTCCTCCTCGGCCTCCATAACTACCTCCTCCTCTACTATCATATCTATCGTCTCCTCTTCCCCCTCTATATCCCCCTCCACCTCGTCTTCCGCCAAAATTGTCATAATCTCTGTAATCACCACGGTTACCACCGCCTCGACCACCTCCACCTCGACCACCACGGAATCCTGTTGGTAAAGCAATATGAAGGTATGGTTGGTGGTAATGAAAAGTTAGGGCATGGACTTTTGGTCAGACATAAGCCTGTGCACAATGTACTACTGTTCTGCTCCGAAACTGGGCTAATGAAGACGGGCATATGCCATACAGTGTGCTATGAGGGAAATTTTGCCCAGACAGCAGCACTACGGCCTACTCTTTTACGTAGGGATCTTTTACGTGCACGCCAATGTGTACACGGGACCTCGGTTTTGAATATAAATGAAATGAATTTAACATCCTACTGAGTTTATATTTCGGGACAACAAGGTTGTTCTTAGTATTTCATCTAAAGATTTTTTTTATGGCATGTAAGGCACCAAAAGTTCTCTTAGATAGGATGGCATTACACAGTATCGAGGACATGCAAATGATGTGTAAGAGGCAGCGATTGGAAGTCATTTCTCACTTGCACTGGAAGACAGTAAAGTGAACTAAGTATAAGGGTGATATTTTCTCTCAAAGGAGTTTGTGTTACGAGCCATGCTTCCTTGTTTTGCATGCACTGCAGTTCATATATTGATGTTTTATTAATTCCGGCAAGTAAACTATTGCAGTAGTATAAACGGGAAAATACAAGAGAACGGACTAGTGTTGTGAATTGAAACGAGAGAAGTGGTATCAAGTGTTACATACCTCCACCACCACGATTATTATCTTTCTTTCTACCTTCCGCTACGTCCACTCGTAAATTTTTATCTTCAAATAACTATAAAATAATAACAGACATTTTAATTAATAATAAGCCTACTAATCAAGATTAATGGAAACATCTTCAAAAATTTACAAAAAGAAAAAACAACTAAGCAGATCTTATAGACAAACAAGCAAAAGCCGAATTACGGGTGAACACATGATCAAACTTGAGACAATATATTTACACCCTTCTGTTAGCAGTTACAAAGAGTACCAGCAGGAACCCATTGTTTCGAAGTCTGCCTCTGTGTTGATCGGCTAGCCGGCCTGGAATTAAGGCACATGTCACACAAATTGTCAGAACAAATTAAAACTTTTTGTCTGGCACAATTCCTGGAGATTGTCATTTTGTCAGTCACAGATTTCTTTTTAGTAGTATATTTTTAATCCTTGTCCGACACAATTCTAAAGATATCATGTACATGTACAAGTTAAAAAGTAGTGCTGAGTAATGCCACGACAGTCACGATATGATACATATTCTGATTCAGGTGCTACAATACAGGATAAATGAATAATAGATATTTTTAGTCTTGGTGATGTCGTAGAAATAAAGCTGTTTTATATCAAGATATTGATAAGGACCAAAACAATATAATATGTGATATGGAGAGAGAGAGAGAGAGAAATGGGGTTTAACGTCCACTCGACCCTACTCCTTGTCACGTACAACCGGGGATTCGAAACCACGCCAGTTAACTCAATGACACAGGCCTTATGATACAACACGCGTGTGCTAACCATTCGGCCATCCAACACCCCCCATATGATATGGATAATGTGTGACACGGATAATATGTGATATGGATAATAAGATTGACAGTACATTCTGAAGCGACAAAAAAAACCCTTTAAAAGATAGCTTGCCAGGCAACGAAACATACACCCACAGCAGCTAAATCGTCTGAGCGGTCGACAAGGGTTGTCACATATTTATTCTTTTAAAGGTAATTGGGAGCATTTACAAGACAATTTCATACAGATCAGATTAAAATTTTCGTCATTTGAGGGTTCACAAGGTTCTACAAACTGAAACAAGGACTTTGTGATTGAAAACACGAATCGTGCCAAGGTAAATCGTGGTACATTGATTTAATGATATATCGTGCCAGTGCCTGGCATCTATTTGCAGGCCTCTAGACTTACAATCTGTTTGATATGTTTTAAAAGTCAACTTACCGCACCATCAAACGTTAATGCTTCTTTTAAAGAATCTAAATCATCAAACTCTACATACGCAAAACCTGAAAATATACAAAATATCAATATAGTCTTTACTGACGCCTCCATTTTTCTTGTGCCAGGGATGAAATAAATATACATATGTCAATTAGGGACTGGACTAATGAAAACGCACGTACACCATACAGTGTGCTTATGGGAAATTTTGTCTGGGTAGCGGCGCTACTGTCTATTCATTACATCGAATTCCAAATGTCAATAATGTGTACACGGGACCTTGGTTTTCTGTCCCATCCGAACAACTAGACATCTGTCCTTGTCAGCCCTCCATCCTGCACCACTGACAAAGGGAAACCACGAGGGAAAATCCAGATAACCTTTTCGACCAACACCAGGATCGAACACACGACCTCCAGATTACCGATCCAAGGTCTTACTCAGTGAGCCACTGTGACTCCCTTGAAATAATGAAGAGCAAGAAATGTGATTGGTAATAAAGTCCTGAGTGGCATCAGGTGTTCTAGAAAGAAACAGCATATGCCAGCAATTAAGACTTGGATTTCAGAAACCAACCCTTCATGTAATTGGTAGAAAATTATATAACTTACCCTTAAATTCGTCTGTGTCTCTGTCTCTGACCAGTCTAACACTATGTACCTGTATTAAAAAAAAACACATCTAGAATATAAATCATGGCACTGGCTCACTGGGTTCGAACCAAGTGTTGGGTGAAAAAAAGCTCCTTAGGTTTTGTCCAACGAAGACCATTGACATGGAAAATTAAATGAAATATAACGTCCTACTGTTTTGCTCTGACTAGGCTAATGAAGACTGGACTATGCCATAAAGTGTGCTATGAAGGACATTTTGCCTGGACAGCGGCGCTACAGCCTACGCATATATCAAATTCTAACTGCCAAGGGATCTTTTACGTGTGCATCCATGCGACAAGGAAAAGTGTTTAGTCATTCGGATTGTATGAAACAACATATAACACTGTAACCCAGGTATCATTTAATCTTGTGTATCCAGCACTAATTTCTTTCATATTCTTTTAATATCAAATCTTTGTTTAAAAATTTGTAAAAACTGTTTAAAATCACCATAAATCGTTTAATTTGTACTTGTGTCCAGTTTAAAGATGACCATTCAATTTTGATAATGAGTGTCCAATTTACAAGTGTTTAATTTCTCAATCATTGTTAAAAAATAAACAACCCAATTGATTAATGATGTATAATGATTAATTTTTTAACAGTGATCAGGAAATTAAATACTTGTAAATTGGACACACATTATCAAAATTAATCAGTCAGCTTTAAACTGGACACTTGTACAAATTAGATGATTTTTGGTGATTTTAAACAATTTTTACAAATTTTTAAACAAAGATTGGATATTAAACGAATGTGAAAGAAATTAGTTCTAGATACACAAGATTAAACGATACCTGGGTTACAGTGCAAGGTCCTGTGTATACTATTGGCATTGGAAGTTGGCGTAAGAATTAAAAAAAAGTCATCGCATTGGATATTAAACGAATGTGAAAGAAATTAGTGCTAGATACACAAGATTAAATGATACCTGGGTTACAGTGTATTGTTCCCACAGTAACTGTGTTTAAGATTAAGCTAAAGTAGTAAAACAAATCAGGTATTCCAGTCACACAAGAAATAAATTTACCTTTAAATCTTTAAATATAACTTCTAAATCACCCTGTACAACCCCTTTCGGTAAATTCCCAATATAACATGTGTAGGGGGGTTCTGTTGGTAAAGGTTTTCTTCCTCCTCCTCCACCTCGGGATCCTCCATCTCTACCACCATATCCTCCTCCTCCCCCATAGCCCCCTCGTCCTCCCCCACCATAACCTCTGTCATTTCTTCCTCCATAACCTCCACTGCGGCCATAAGATCTGTCATCCCTGCAAAATAAAAAAAATTTGACATCAATTTCCAAACAAGTAATAATAATAATAATAATTGTCTTATATAGCGCTACATTATGTCCAATGGTCATTTGTAAGCGCTGTTCAGCCACATTGTATATTATATAGAAAGTATCCCTAGAGTATATTTATAATCACACCTTATTAAATAGATGAGTTTTTAAAACAGATTTAAATTCTGTAAATGTAGGTAGTTCCCGCATTATTTTTGGAAGATCATTCCAGAGAATTGCACCATTAACAGGGAAAGAATATTTTCCACGTAGCTTTTTATATTTCGATACAGATAGTAATGTGTTATCATTCGAGGATCTGAGGTTGCAGCGTATCTGTACATCACTATACAGTGTAAACATCTGTTTCATATAGCTGGGAGCGGATATAGAGAAGAGACTTTTATATACAGTCGTTGGGATTTTATATTCAATTCGCGATCTAACTGGTAGCCAATGTAATTCCTTTAGTTTGTCACTGATTTATGTTTTATGTAAAGTAAGGATTCCCCAACAAGTAGTTTTATGTAAAGTGAGGATTCCCCAACATGTAGTTTTTTGTAAAGTAGGGCAATTCCAAGCCAACGTATGCAATTAGGTGAAAAATTCAATTAGTTGATAAGTGGACAAAAAGAGTATCTTATGGTGGGAAATAATCCACATTTTGAAGAAAAATCTCAATTTGGGCGGAAACTCTCCCGATTTTTTTTTTATTTGGTCTTGTGTCAAGGTTTATGTTGTAAATGTTGAATTTATAATTCTATTGTATTTTCTTACTTTGTGTTTGTTTGATTATTCTGACTCATATGAATGATTTGGCATTAGTTATCTGACAATGTATATAAACATAATATTTAAACATTAAAATAATATATTTTTATGAAGGTACCCAACATTTAAAAAATATCACTATGAGAATGTACGTCTGTTGCCAAATATTTACATTTTTTTCTCTCTCATTCATATTTTTATATGGAATTATTTAAAACTTCATATCTAAACCTAGAATAACCCATTCTTACTATAATGACCGTAAAAAGAAAAGATTTGCAAAAATTCTTACAATAACTTGGGTTTTCATACATGTAAGTCTGTTACTTTCCACATTATTTCACGTTACCAAATATTTCCATTTTATCTCTCGCATTCATATTTATTTATGGAACTGTTCAAAAACTCATATTTAAAGCTAACATCAACCATTCTTGATATTATGAGCATAAAAAGAAATAATTTGCCAAAATTCTCTGAATTACTTAGGGTTTCATAGATGTATGTACGTCCGTTACCAAAATTTTAGGGTAAAAATGTACGTCTGTTACCAAAATTTTATTCAAGGAGTAATGTTTTTAGCAAAGTAACTGCTCCATTAAATCAAATGAGTTAACTATTATTATTATCTATAATCCCATTATTTGAAAGTTTACATATTTCATGTAATGGGTTAGCAATTTGCACTCGTACTTCCGTTATCAGAAAATATGTACGTCCGTTACCACAATAATTTCTAATATACTGGGTTACGAGAATCCAAATGTAAGAAGTGATTATGCAGTACACATGTACATTGTAGTATTAAAACTTTTAATTTCCACAAGACAATTTACAGAGTTTTGAAACTATGTTCATGCAGGCAAATCATGGTGTTCATTTCTGTATGTCCGTTACCTATACTTTGAGGAGCGAATATTTATTAATTTCCAGTGTTCATGAACAAATAAAATCATGTCAATTGATACTTAAATCATATGTCTTTAATGCTATATAAAACTCAAACAGTTAATTATTCATGGTTAGATAATATTGGAAGTAATATAAGCGAATTCAAAATGTACGTCCGTTACCGTGGAAATGCCCAGTAAGGATTCCCCAACATGTAGTTTTTTGTAAAGTGAGGATTTCCCAACATGTAGTTTTACTTTTATGCAAAGTGAGGATTCCCCAACATGTCGTTTTATGCAACGTGCTTTGGGAATGCACAGAGAGCTAATTATCTCTAACTTCTAAAGTAGTTTGGGCTAAAGTCCTGTATCCTGTCTTAAAATAACTGGGTTATACCGTAAATGTATGTGTGAACACTATCCCGTCTTAAAATCACTGGCGATAATTGCCTGAATGGACTATTTGTGACAGATTTACAGTGTTCTTTATTAACATACTTGTACATCTCAATACCGTTTCACCCACTTGGCTGCTTCATCTCAATATCATTTCAACCCCCTAGGCGGTTTCATCCCAAAACTGTTTTCCCCCTCAATCTATTTTTTGATCTAGGGGGAAGTAACAACAGTGATGAACAGATCATTTCTATTTCTATCTAATGACAAATGTTTGATTTTGAGAATAAAACCATCAGATCGGATGGGAAGTGAATTTAAAATGAAAGAATCACTAGTTCTTGTACGTGTGCATGAAACAGGAGAAATTACAACTTGTAATCTTTATGGTGTAGTCAACAGATTTGTGCTGATCTTAAATCATGGTTTTGTTGCTTTTTTCTTCATTCACCATTCTCCTTCTTCAACTGGACATAGAATAATTTTCTTCGGGCATTTTGACATGATACGGCTTCATTTCGAACTTACTTAGAAGCCAAAATCCAACCATGGCTTTCCTTCTAAGAACATGTACTAAAAATCCCCATTTCCGTCAGTGCCCACGCTTTTCGTCTTCTGTGGCCTGAAGATTGTACAGGAGAGTGCCGAAAAGAAAGCATGCACCGCTGTTCACTCCCAGGTTGTTGCCGATTCGAGGGGATACACTTGTGTCATGGTCGTAATTTTGGTTGCATTTGAAGGAGTCTGAGTTATGGGTAAAATACATATCAAATTTTTTCGTAAATGATATATTACCCATCAAAGCCACCACGATTTCTGTCGCCGTATCCTCGATTATTAGACTCGTAGTCCGCCATATTGAAATGGTAAAGACTTCCTGTGGCGCATGCGTACTGGAATGTAATCAACATGGCAGTGGAGCACATGGCTGCTGAAAATAATAAACCCACAGCTATTAAAACTAAAACAGATGAATATGTCCTCAAATTATTCTGGACTTTATCAGAAGGACAGGATAATGCCAGGATCAAGGCATCCAATGAACTCGTGAAACATCTAACCAAGAAGCAAGAGAATTCTGAAGAATCTGTAAGGCCCTGACAAAACTGATAAAAATCTTTTTTTTTCAAAAACAAAACTGCTGAATAACAAGCCACATCATTTAGGCTGCTTTATTTCAGTAGTCTTTTAATCTCTGTGTAAAGCAGACATTTTATAAGTTGATCCTTGGCGTAATGGTTATCAAAAGGAGGGGTAAACATGATGGGCTGTCATTGTTCAGAATGTGGCAAGCAAGTGATTTCCATTCTCAGTTGAGGTCAGAAACATTAGATCTATCCCAGGCCTCTGATCACATTTTATAATGGATATCGGTTAAAAGGGTGTCAGAAAATGTTGACTTTGTTTATTGGGGTAAAATAGGCCTTTCAACCTTATTGATCAAGTCACGCAGGCTTTTGCAGTTTCCAAAGATCACGAATAGTCATTTTATAGATTCTAGTGCTGTTAAACAAAAGCATCACTTCAGTAGTTGAATTAAATGGGTCACAAAGTCTGTTACTCCATTGTGCAGAGAGATATTGTTAACACGTAACCTCTCTGGGTCTCAAGCAGATTTACATGTCTACGTTGAAGTCGAGGGTGGTAATGTTAAAAGGCTAAAGAGGTCTAGTCATTTTATGGCTACTCAGGGGGATGGATGGCCGAATGGTTAGCACAGATGCGTTGTATCATGCGGTCTGTCATTGAGTCAACTGGCAAGGTTTCGATTCCCCAGTTGTACGTGACAAGGAGTATGGTCACCTGTCCAACCTCGTGGGTTTTCTCCGGGTCCTCCAGTTTCCTCCCACTGCTAAAGACCCCCCAACGCGCAAGCGAATTATTGAAATAAAATTGAACCATATGTTAGTCCTGAAATGACCTAGTTTGTGTCGATTAGAGCAAGGGTTCCAGATGCAAAATGTTGGATAATTACGAATAAAACACATATATATAATGGTGTCACCTGAGGAATTTCATGTTGATCTGAAATTAATTTTCTCTTATTTTTTTACAGAAAACAGATGAATTATGTCCGACCTTGGTGTATACGTTAGAGAGGTTGATTAAAGGGCTATCATCAGGAAGAAAATGGTCAAGATTGGGTTTCTCGTTGGCTTTAACTCAGATATTACGAAATCTCGACGTCCCTGTAAAACAAGTTTTAGATTTAACAGAAAAACATCTTCACTTCTCATCACACGACCAAAAACAGGTCAGTTGTAATAGTTTTTCTGTACAGCATCTTCTCGTTATTATTTTGGTCATTCCGTTTCTTAGGGCTCGCAAGTTTGATTTTTTTTTTGTGATAAGAAATGTATTGTTAACGTATTCGTGTAATGATTTTCACAAAATACTAATTGGCTTATAAAATAGCTAAAACATCGCAACAAATTAACAGAAGATACAGAGAGAGAGAGGGAAATGGGGTTTAACGTCCACTCGACACAAACTAGGTCATTTCGGGACTAACATATGGTTCAATTTTATTTCAATAATTCGCTTGCGCGTAGGGGTCTTTAGCAGTGGGAGGAAACCGGAGGACCCGGAGAAAACCCACGAGGTTGGACAGGCGACCCTACTCCTTGTCACGTACAACCGGGGATTCGAAACCACGCCAGTTGACTCAATAACAGGCTTTTTGATACAGCACGCACGTGCTAACCATTCGGCCATCCAACCCCCCAGAAGATACACAATTTTATGGATACACAATTGCTCGATTTATTACTATACAGCATTTCGATGTGGATTCTCCCATCTTTATCAAGCTGAACTGGGCTAATGAAGACCGGCATATGCCATACAGTGTGCTATGAGGGAAATTTTGCCCGTATAGCAGCACTACGGTCTACTCTTATATCGAATTCTAACAATCAAGGGATCTTTTATGTGCACGCCAATGTGTACACAGGACCTCGGTTTTTCGTCCCATCCGAACGACTAGACAGCTGTCCTTGTCAGGCCCTCCGTCCTGCATCACTGACTAGAAGGAACAATGCCGGAAAATCTGGATGAACTTTCTCTGCCAATGCAGATATCTAACACCTGACCTCCAGGGTAATGATTAGCTACCTTGACCCCCACGTTTATCAAGCAAATGTCCACAAATTATATATAACTATTATAAGTGTGTATTACGTAATATTTCATAGAAATGTTTATAAATATGTGGGGGGGTTGGATGGCTTAGTGGTTAGCACGTGCGCGCTGTATCATTAAGTCTGTCATTGAGTCAACCTGAGTCAACTGGCGCGGTTTCGAATCCCCGGTTGTACTTGACAAGGAGTAGGGTCGCCTGTCCAACCTCCGGTTTCCTCCCACTGCTAAAGACCCCTACGCGCAAGCGAATTACGGAAATAAAATTGAACCATGTGTTAGTCCCGAAATGACCTAGTTTGTGTCGAGTGGACGTTAAACCCCATTTCTCTCTCTCTCTTTATAAATATGTATTATATTGTTTTATATTGTAGGAATGTGGAGGGTTGATGTTAGGTCAGGCTTTTGTTTATCTCAGTTTGATTCAGTCACATAGATTGATAAAGGTAAGAAGGGGAGATAATTAATCTTTTAAAAACATTCTCTAGTCTAATAATAAGTGCAAGAGGACTGCACTACAGAAAAATAAACACCTTACGACCAACTAGCGGACAACAAACACTGTAAGACCAACCCGCGGACAAGACAGATAGCATACACAGACATTAGAACAATGTCAGATTAAAATGAAGATCAAAACTTCCAACAAGGGAGATAATCCACAAATGCAAAAAATAAAACCCAGAAGACAAGACACACCACAAATGGTTGTTACAAGCAGTAAAAAATAATAGTATTAGTATTATAAACTGCAGCTGTATTCTATAGATATGACAGAAGATGAAATTTTTTGCTAAATCCTGGAAAATGGGGGGACTTCTAGTCTCTGCCACAGGTTTGAATTCCTGACTGGGTTGAGTAGAAACTTTCAGAGTTTTCATTCCTGGTTCTCACTTGTCAGGAGTGGTGCCTGCTAGACTGAGAAGGAAAGTGTTGTAGCAAATTTCTCCCCATTTTATTGCACACATAACCACAATCTGTTTCACAGAACTAATGCGAAAGCCTTTGTTCTAACTCTGTTACTCTGTGTAAGATGTCGTAGATCATTGGCACGATAGCGCATGTATTGTTTACATAAGATGTAACGTAAACTGGTTAGGTAGAATTTCCCATAAATTTACCATAACATGTTACTCTCAAAATGACCAAAGTATTGTGTTAAATATGATGACTGATACATTTACGACTAACTGTAATTGGATTTCATTTTTAGCATGCATTTATTCTTTGTTGTTCTTCTAATCAACATTTCTTTTCATTGAGGGGGGTGGGGGGTGGATGTCAGAATAGTTAGCTTGGTATCATATGGTCTGTCATTGAGTCAACTGGCGTGGTATTGATTCCATGGTTGTATGTGCCAGGGTCGCCTGTCCAACCTCGTGGGTATTCTCTGGGTCCTCCGGTTTCCTCCAACTGTTAAAGACCCCTAACAGCTAGTGAATTAATGAAAGAGTTGATGTTAAACACTCTCTCTCTCTCTCTTTCTCTCTCTCTCTTTTCACTTTTCATTGAGATTGTTAAAGTGTTTTGATTCATTCATGTATACATGGTAAGGAGCTTAGGGGGAAGTTATTAAAATATTTGATATTTTTAATTATAGGGAGATGGTAAAGAGTATGGGGGAGAAGTTATTAAAACTTTATTTAAACTTTGTAAAGAGAAGATGTATTTACAGTCGATCTGTTCACAAGGTCTAACATTACTGATACAGCAGGTAGAGTAACCTCCCTTTTCTCACTGTTACCGCTTATATTGCGCTCTCAATCACTAGGTTTATCACTACCAAACAGGTAGAGTAATCTCCCTTCCTCTTTGAGTTATAAATCTATAGAATACAGTGAAAATTTCCTTAAAAATTGATAATTACCATTTGTTTTTATCATTATTTGTACGTTTTTGTGAAAATAGTCCATACAGCGCTATAAATCATAAGATTGTTGACATGGATTCCTATATGATCTTAAACTAGTTGATAAATTGAAATAACAGTCTATCCTGTATTTAAACAAAAATAGTCTCATATTGGATTCGGTCTCCTGACAGAGCTCTCATTAAACCTTATAAAATTCAATCATTATACAGTTGTCAGCCATACATTATACAGGCTTAGGCTAGTAATTACCTCCCCTGTTTTCATGATGGACGTATATAGCGCCTCTATTTATAGCAATTCTCTCTTCCCCCCCCCCCCCTCTTGCATGGCAGTTTGTTTTGACGTTTTCGTCTAGAATCAAAGAAGAGTGATTGGATTTCCATTGTCTGACAGGGTTAATTATCAGGAAGTAAACAGGCATGAAGGGGAGTTGGGTGGCCGAATGGTTAATGCGTGCGTGTTGTATCATAAGGTATCGCATTAAGTCAGATGGTGTGGCTACGATTCCCAGATGGTACATGACAAGGAGTAGCTTCGCCTATCCTACATCATGAGTTTTCTCTGGGTCCTCCGGTTTCCTCTCACAGCTAAAGACCTCTATGCGCACGCGAATTATTGAAATAAAATTGAACCATATTAATCCCTAACTGACCTAGTTTTTGTCGAGTGGAGTATAATGTTAAGATATTTATTGTATTACAGGCCAGTAGTAAAATATTTAAGAAGAGATTATTACCATGTTTACAAGATGAGTTAGATAAAGGATGGAAAGGCTGTACTATAAATAGATTATTGATAGCTCTAGTATCTACTATACATCATGAGGTAAGTTGGGGGGATCTTTAACGTGTTCTAGTATCTGTTATACATCCATCAGGTAAGTGTGGTAGTGCTGGTGGGAGCCATGGTGGGTAAGATGCTGGCTCGCTAGCCTGGAGGTCGCGTCTTCGATCCCTGCATTGGCTGAGAAAGTTCATCGGATTTTCCAACTTGGTTTACCCTTGTCAGTGATGCTGTCTAGTCATTCAGATGTGACGATACACCAAGGTCCCATGTACACATAGGCGTGTAGCACTAGTAAGTGTGTGGGGATCTTTAACGTGCTCTTGTTGTCAATAGACTTATAGGCCATGTTGAAAATGTAAGTTTTTTTTATATGGTTGCGTTTTTATGTTTCTAGGATTGTATGGAAGAAATATTAGAAGAACATTGGACAAATCCGATTGTCAGTAAAAAGAGTTTCACATTTATTGTAGAAGTTTTAAGGGTTAGTATGATGCATGAATTACATAGCCTCCTCTAAAATTATATTACCTATTTCTCTAAAACCATGGCAACACTTATATAACCCCCTCTAATATTATGTTTCCTATTTTATAACAATATTACTATATACAATATTATAACATCGCTAAAATTATATAACCTATTTTACTAATTTTAAAATAGTTCAGCTTTAATATTTATAATGTTTATGTAAATTATGATTTATTTATTTGTTGTGAGCATGTTGGGTGGCCGAATGGTTATCGCATGCACGTTGCATCATAGGGTCTGTCATTGAGTCAAGTGGCATGGTTTCGATTCCCCGCTTGTAGGTGACAAGCAGTACAGTCGCCTGTCCAACCTCATGAGTTTTCTCCAGGTCCTCTGGTTTCCTCCCACAGCTAATTAAAGACTGCTATGCGCATACAAATTATTGAAATAAAATTGAACTATATGTTATTCCAGAAATGATCTAGTTTGTGTCGAGTAGACTTGACCTCTCTCTCTCTCTCTCTCTCTCTCTCTCTCTAAAACCATGGCAACACATATATATATAACCCCCTCTCATATTATGTTTCCTTTTTATACGCCCACTTTGTTGAAGCTTGTGAACACTCTAACAACTTTACAATTTAAATTTCTTTATTATAGATTGAAAAGTTATTTTATTTCTTTGTGTTTGCCATGTTTACATTTATAATTTTTACATAAATAGTTATTTATTTATTGTGTTTTAAACAGATTGTATTTTGTAGAAATGTCCAGTTTATATTTGAATATTTTGTATTATTTTACAGAATTGTAGCGTAGAGAGTAAAGTTTATGTTCAAGTTTGTGAATTATTGGCCAAACTATCGGAAACATCTGTTGATAGAACATGGCATGGTGTAGGAGGTACGTGTGTCTTGTTTATATTTATATTACATACGGCCAGGTGTGTTGCTGAGACACATTATACTTCATTCCTCAAGAATATATCTCTGCCCTAAATGGCTGCCATATCCAAAAATTAGTATATTGTTTCTACTCCGTTTCACATTTGTCATAAACACAAAGACTAAATAAACAATTTTATTAAATGGAAGCACAATAATTACTCAACAAATTATTTAAATTCTAAGTAAATTATTATGTAATATTTATATTGTTTTATTTACAGCAAGAATTTTAGAGGGTAATCAACAACAAAAACAGATCGCAGGGTGTTTATTAAATAAATTACTAATAGTTACGTCGTCGCCTGAACAGGTAGGTCTTGTAATCTTGCTGTAGTTCATACGTCTTTACATTTTCACCTCGGTTGTCTGGTCAACTTTTTTCCCTTTGTTTTGATTAAATTCAAATTATTACTTGGGTCAACAGACATTTATTTTCTCAGTTTATTTGATAGAAAACCTGTGACATTCAAAGACGGCTGGGGATCACGGTAGCTAAGTGGGTAAGACGCTGGCTCGCTAGCCTGGAGGTCAGTTGTTCTATCCCTACATTGGTTCTCCCTTGTCAAATGTCAGTGATGCAGGACGGAGAGCCTGACAAAGACAGCTGTCTGGTTGTTCGGATGGGATGAAAAACCGAGGTCCCATGTACACATTGGCGAGCATGTAAAAGATCGCTTGACAGTTGGAATTCGATCTAAGAGTAGGCCATGTGCCGCTATCCGAGCAAAATTTCCCTCATAGCACACTGTATGGCGTATGCCCGTCTTCATTAGCCTAGTTCGGAGCAGAACAGTAGAACGTTAAACCCCATTTCATTTTATTTCTTTTCAAAGATCAATGGTGGAAATACCACTGTATGGTTAAAATACTTATTGTTGTATTAACAAATGTAATATAAGAACGAATTTAGATATGTTTACCTTCTTTAAAAGTACATCTGTCTAAAAATGTGACATCACCCTTTTTTAAAGCTGGATCATATTACTTAAAGGGGCTAAATCGCTAATATTTTGGACCTAGAAATTGACACAAATGGGTTGCAACGCATATAATATTGTAATATGAATGTATACATTCAATCGTTTCCGTTTTTACTCTAATTTCAAATCAGTTATTTTCGGCGAAATACGCCAGAAGTCTCAACCGAATGGCAACCTCTAGCGTCTGGTTATTCCAGTCTACATCGATAGTATTTATTGCGCATGCTCTCCAGATAAGAATATGACGTCATCGTTTGACATGGCTTGTGGAATATGTCTAGCCGGGGTCTGCGAGGCCATTGTTACAAATGGCACTGAAACGTATTATGGTACACGATTCGTGTACCAATTGTGTTACAGACTTAGCTCCTTTAATTCAATGCATTAAGAAGATAAAGATTTTTATTACTTTAATGGATAATTATTTGTATATTGAGTTATATTATTTCTATGTTGTAGATTAAAGAGTTATTATATTGATATATTCACTGTAACCCAAGTATCATTTAATCTTGTGTATCTAGCACTAATTTCAATCACATTCGTTTAAAATCAAATCCCTGTTTAAAAATTCGTAAAAATATTTTAAAATCACCAAAAATCATCTAATTTGTACTTGTGTCCAGTTTAAAGCTGACAGGTTATTATGATTAAGAGTGTCCAATTTATAAGTATTTAATTTCCTGACCACTGTTCAAAATTTAATCATTATACAACATTAATCAATTGGGTTGTTTATATTTTAATAGTGCTTGAGAAATTAAACACTTGTAAATTGGACAGTCATTATCAAAATTGAATGGTCAGCTTTCAACTGGACACAAGTACAAATTAAACAATTTATGGTTATTTTAAACAATTTTTACAAATTTTTAAACAAAGATTGGATATTAAACGAATGTGAAAGAAATTAGTGCTAGATTAAATGATACCCAGGTTACAGTCATAGATTTAGTTGTATTATTTACATATTGAGTTATGTTATTTCTATATTATAGATTGAAGAGTTATTAAATCGAAAAGTTCGGGAGTTTTTGATTCTGTTTCCAGGCAGTATTCATGTTAAACAGACTAAAGATGAGGTCAGTTGATCATATATCATCACAACATTATTAAACCCCATTTCTCTCTCCCTCTTTACGAGTGCACAGAAGTTTAGGGTTTTCACCCCACCCATAAAAATAGACACTGTACCTTATGAGGCCCTTTGTCCTGCACTACCGACAAACAGAAATGACACTGAAACATCCTAAAAAAAAAAAAAGAAAAGTAGTACGCTAAACCCCATTTCATCTTATTTTTGGCACAATTAAAGTCTACCATTTATACTGATGTATTTGCTTACATATTTTTAGATTCTTAAAGCAATTGTGGATAAAATCCGAACTTGTCAAGATGTTGATATAGAGATGGCCTTAGTTAGATCGTTACTCCGGGATCCAGGTGGACCAGCGATTGACAGATCAACTAAATCACAGACGTTGTCACAGGCTATTAAATCGGTGAGATATTCAACAATTTCTAATTTATTTAATCCATTTAAAGGAGCATCTTTTGTTCCTCATTTGATTCATTAAAAAGAACATTTCTCGATCCTTATTTAATTCATTTAAAGGAACATCTTTTGTTCATTATTCGATTAATTTAAAGGAACATCTTTTGTTCATGATTTAATTCATTTATTTTAAAGGAACATTTCTTGATCCTTATTTAATTCAATTAAAGGAACATCTCAAATCAAATAGATGCGATTCCCCGTGAATCCCCCCGTCGGAGCAGAACAGTAGGATGTTAAACCCCATTTCCCTTGAATCCATGGCACATTGTTTATATTTTGACTGTTGTTTATGTTTTGACTGTTGTTTATATTTTGACTTTTGTTTATATTTTGACTGTTGTTTATCTTTTGACTTGTTTATATTTTGACTGTTGTTAATGTTTTGTTTGTATTTTTAGTTATCAGAAGAGGGTTTTGATCAGTATTTTAAAATGGTACAGCAAATTTTTATGGAAGAGACAGTGGAAGGGTCAGTATCATGAATCTTGTTGTATATATATATATATATACTCAGATCACTTGCTTCAATATAAATGTGTAAAATGGTTGTAAAAATAGTTTGGTTCATAGATGAGGTGCATTACACAATGTCATTAGAAAAAAAAATTACAGATAAAAGCTAGAAAGTATTAGCTTTTTAGGTTGGGATAATGAAGAGAGCATGCTCCTTGCAGTGTGCTATGAAGGAAGGGGACGATGGGTGGCTGACTGATCTAACGCGGGAATGTTTGATCATATGATCTGTCATTGAGTCAAGTGGCGTGGTTTCGATTCCTCGCTTGCATGTGACAAGGAATAGAGTCGCCTGTCCAATCTCATGGGTTTTCTCCAGGTACTCCGGTTACCTGCCACAGCTAAAAAAACTCTACACGCAAGTGAATTATTGAAATAAATTTTAACCATATAGCAGTCCTGAAATGAACCAGTTTGTGCCGAGTGGACATTAAACCCACTCTCGCTATAAGGAAACTGTGCACCATATTGTGATGGTTCTTCTTTCTCTTCATTAAAGGGGGGTGGGGGGTGTGGATGGCTGAATGGTCAGCACGTGCGCGCTGCGCTGTATCATGGTCTGTTATTGAGTCAACTGGAGGTGTTTCGAATCCCTGGTTGTACGTGACAAAGAGTAGGGTCGCCTGTCCAACACCATGGGTTTACTCCGGGTCCTACGGTTCTTCCCACTGCTTATGCGCAAGCGAATTATTGAAATAAAATTGAACCATGTGTTAGTCCCGAAATGACCTAGTTTGTGTCTAGTGGACGTTCACCCCATTTCTCTCTCTCTTCATTAAAGTGTTTTATTTCCTTTCGAAGGCCACATCTGTCAGGGAAAGTTTCTGCCGTAGTACACTGCCTGGCTTATGCTCTTCACCCTTTAATTGTAATGTTTAATTGTAATTGATGCTCCCTGGGAAAATCTGAGGTTTTCTATAATCGATGTTGTCTAGGTATATAAAGAATTGTAATTACAAGGCTATGCTTTAGATTAAAATTGTATAAAATTTTAAAAAAAAAATTTTTTTTGTTTAGTTTTACGCCAACTGAGTGTTTACGAATTAAAAAGAAGGCTGTGTTTTTATTACGACAGAAAACTTTAATGGGTGAACATCAGACTGCGTTAATAAAACAGCTGTTTGTACAGGGTTATTTTAACGTAATAACTCCTTCAACTAAAATATTATATGTAAGTTAAAAACATTTCATCGTCCATATGCAGAGGCGGATTGGGCCATCGGGCTGGTCGGTCAAAAAATGAAAAAATTAATTTTGTCCAATTCGTCTAAAAAACCCTTTTCTGCTGAACATTATATGGGGGGGGGGGTATTGGACCGGCCATGGAGCGATGATGATCATGTTGTATATATTCCTACTTATTCAATATTCCTTACTGGTTAATCAAATGGTCAAAATTTTCTCAACTAGTCTTGACGATACAATGATAATACGTTAATTAATAATATGACGATATGATAAATTCATAGGTTGATGGTTATAAATTACTTGCAGGCCGGGGTTTTGGCCTAAATTAATCGATTTATGAGATATATTATTTGACAGAGATTATAATCAGATATGCCACTAAATCACACATTTGGGGTTCATTTTTCAAAATTTTCCCGTGGGAGAGCCCACCCCCCCTGGTCCGGGCTCTGCGGTCAGTAAAAGGGGCCGCTCCGACACGGGAGCCCGGGCCAATCCAACCCTGTCCATATGTGCAATTTAATTAAAATACAAATCTATATTTTGTTTCGTTTTTCTTATGCTTTTGACGGCCTACACTACATGAAGATCTGACCGGTTGTAGTGGAAGGTTGCGTCAGATGTCATACAAGCGACTTTTGACCCTATGGGTTACCCACATTTCCGTGCACCAAACGCCAAAAACTTGCTCTAACAGACCATTTCATTGCTCACTTCAACCAGAACGCAGATTATGTAACAAGAGATCCTAGTGTTGTGAAGACAAGTGAAACTAAATTTTAAACCAGAAAAGACGAAACTAAATAGGATCTGTGCTTTAATCAGATTGCATTAATAATATAGAGTTTCATCTGGTGGCAATGGTTTTTTTGTTTTGTTTTTTTTTTTGCTTTAATTTATATTATTTGTAAGTTAATAAAACAGCTGTTTGTAAAGGGTTATTTTAACTCCTTCAAATAAAGAGGGGGGGGGGGGTTGCATGGCCGAATGGTTAGCACGTGCGTGTTGCATCATAAGATGTGTCATTAAGTCAACTGGCATGGTTTTGATTTCCTGGTTGTACGTGTCAAGTAGGGTTACCTGTCCAACCTCGTGAGTTTTCTACAGGTCTACTGGTTTCTTCCCACTGATAAAGACCCCTACGTGCAAGCAAATTATTGAATAAAAAATTGAACCATATGTTAGTCCCGAAATGACCTGTTTTGTGTCAAGTGCACATTAAACCCCATTTCTCATTATATATTTCTAGTGCAAGAATAAAGTTTCCTACGATGAAGAAGAGTTAAAGATGATGCAGAATGGTTATTTAAATTGTGTAGCTAACTTTCATTCTGGTATGTAGCAGATTTCACATCTTTTTATACTTGAACATAATCTTTATATTAAAACACTAAATATTACATAATAATAACAGACTTTATGTTAAAATACTAAATATTACATAATAACAACAGACTTTTATATTAAAACACTAAATATTACATAATAATAACAAACTTTATGTTGAAATACTAAAAATTACATAATAACAACAGACTTTTATGTTAAAACACTACATATTACATAATAACAACAGTCTTTATAATAAAATACTAAATATTACATTATAACAAGTCTTTTATGTTAAAACACTACATATTACATAATGTCAACAGTCTTTATATTAAAACACTAATTACTCAACACCGCCCAGGAAAGTAAACTGCTAAACACGACACTTGTTATCTAATCTAGACAGACCATTTTAAACTACGTAAGTCGGAACCCAATAATCTTTGATGATTCTACAAATTTAAACAATTTGCCAAAAACAATGGTTTGCAACTAAACATTAAATACAGAAACTCCCAATAAAACAGCACAATACCTGAGTTGTAGTATTAAGTATTAAGTGGTTTATTTTATTCACAATATTGAATATTGTACATTTTTTTTTTAGAAAGGTTTCATTGTATTTACTGTTTTAGGTTCCATGGTTCAAAGTACACACAGAAAGAAATATTTACAATTGTTGATAGAAGTTTTTAATTATGCACAGGTAAGTCGTAATTATGCACAGGTAGTCGTAGTACCTCAGTAAGACGTTGGCTCATTAATCTGGAGGTCCGTTGTTCAATCGCATTGTTGGTCGAGAAAGTTCATCCAAATTACCCTGTTTTTCCCCCGTGTCAGTCGTTCATTTCATTTCAGGTCTTGTCTTATTAATTATTGTGAGGGGCTGATTTTCATCTTGATCAACGCTTAAACATACATTATGCAAGAGCTAAATCTGATTATTGCAAGTCTTTATTTAGGCTTCAGATGTCATAGAAATTATAAATTAGATCTTTATTTACACAACAAGCACAAAATCAATTCTGTAGACCCATGGATGGCTTGGATTCAGCTTGGATTTAAACGGGATTTGGTTGACTGATTAAATTTTAAATGGCGTCGTGAGCGGAGATTAACCGTTAATTTGACGTCATACTCCCGGATCGAGGCTAAATGATAGAGTGTACGAAGCGAGGCCGCTGTTGAGCGATGCCTTAACAAATGATATCTAAACTATTTAAAGTGCAATAAACTAAACACAGATAATGACAAATTATACAATTCCTGGAGACCATGTGATGACTAATACAGACGGACAGGTCTTCTGTCTTAATAATATCAATAAAAATATTTTTATTTCCCCAATAGGCACGACGCCACTGGTGACAGTGGTGTATACCTATAGATTTATCATAATTGTATTATAATATTATGTCCTATATTCAATTTATTTAATGCATGCCCAAAATACAAGTAAGAATGAAAATTTACCCTCTCACTCATTTTGTCCAATCGTTATAAAAATCCAAAAAGGTAAAACACATAATAGGATATTATGACAGCAGACAAAAGACAGCAGAGATTATGTAGGTGGAGTTAACGCCTGTCAATCAAACGATCGGCCATACTAAGAATCGGTGAAGATGGAATTCAATCCCATTTCTAGTCAAAAACTACACTGGTGATAACAATGTTCAGAATAAAGTAATTTGACTGAAATTTTCAATATATTCTTCTTTCATCATCTATTTTTGAACTGTTATAGCAAGAATGGCTAACTCCTTACAAAAATCTCCCATAATGTATCTTTGAGCGAATTAATGAAATGAAATGGAACCATATGTTAGTCCCGAAATGACCTAGTTTTTGCCAAGTGGACATTAAACCCCATCTCGAACATACTGAATTGAAATCAAGTGATATGGAATCGATTTCTGTCACAGTTTGCCTATCACAAAAAAAAATTTGGCATGAACAGAATCCTAACATTATGATCAGGCCTTAATGCAATGCCGATTAGTCAAGGCATTCAGATGGCACATGCCTCGTCTCCGGATTGGTCGAGGTATTCAGATGGCACATGCCTCGTCTCCGGAAATTCTGCTGTTTACACAACTGACACTTTTTGAGGGATTGTGAGGATTCACTTCTGGAACATCCAATCAACTATACCTGAAGTGTATGCAAGTCTGGACATAAGGCACCAGTCACAGACTTTGTCCGACACGAAATGGAATGAAATGAAATTAAATGGAGTTTAACATCCTTCTATTCTGCTCCGACTGGGCTGATGAAGACGGGCATATGTCATACAGTGTGCTATGATGGAAATTATGCCCAGACTGCGGTGCTACGGCCTACTCTTGTATCAAATTCCGACTGTCAGGGGACCTCATTTTTTTTTTAATACCATCCTAATGACTAGACAGCTGTCCTTGCCAGGCGCTCTGTCCTGCATCACTGACATGGGGGAACCACGCCCGAAAATCCTGATGAACTTTCTCTGCCAATGCAGGGATCGAACACCTGACCTCAAGCTCCCTTTGTCAGACATAAATTATCATACAATAAATGTATTATAATATAAGGGGGGGATCACATGGCTAAGTGGGTAAGACGCTAACTCGCTAGCCTGGAGGTCGGGTGTTCGATCCCTGCATTGGCCGAGAAAGTTCATCCAGATTTTCCGGCGTGGTTCTCCCTTGTCAGTGATGCAGGACGGAGGGGCTGACAAGGTAAGCTGTCTAGTCGTTCGGATGGGATGAAAAACCGAGGTCCTGTGTACACATTGGCGTGCACGTAAAAGATCCCTTGGCAGTTGGAATTCGATATAAGAGTAGGCCGTAGTGCCGCTGTCCGGGCAAAATATCCCTCATAGCACACTGTATGGCGTATGCCCGTCTTCATTAGCCCTGGTTAGGAGCAGAACAGTAGGAACAGTTAAACCCCATTTCATTTCATTTCCTATAATATAAGGGTGTGATAATTTATGTCTGAAAAAGTCTATGACATGTGCCTTATGTGTCCAGGCCTGGCCCCGAGCTCACAAAGCATTCTCAGACTTAAGTTGAGAATTTACTCAAAATTGTTCGCCTTATTTTAACTAAAATATAGCCCTTTTTAATAATTTTGTAGTTTTAATGTATCAGATATACCAATAAGAAACTATATGCAAAGTTTTGTGCTTCTGGATCAAAGATATTTCTCATAAACAGTGATTGAATGCTTTGTGAACTCGGTGCCAGGTTATTGTAAGGTGAATTATAATAAAAATTGAACAAGGAAATGGGATAACTCTTATCTTTACTATTTTCAGGAATTAATGTCTAATACAAAGATAGTTACAACCAAGAAGAAATTATCACAGAAAGAACGAGATGCTTGGAATAAAGTTGTAGTTGTTGTTAAAGAAATCACTGATAAGGTCCGTGCAAATTACTTATTTTTGTGAGTTTGTACTGGATGTTAAAATTTATGAAATATTCAGAACTAAATTCAATGAGGTCTCACAGTGTGTTCTGAGGATTGTTTGACTTTTGTTAATTTCAAATTGACGTATTAATCAGTGGATGCCAAACCCTGAGTCTCTCTATATATTTTATGACTATTTTTAAACATACATCATGCAAGAGCTCAATCTGCCTATTGCAGGTCTTTCTTTAGGCCTGAAATGTTATCTAAATTATTAATTAGACATTAATTAACTTATCCAGACCAAAATCAACTCTCGATGACATCGCTAGCCTGCAATATTTACTCGATTAGGATCCGACTTGCTCCCCAACTTTCATTCATGATTTAATCATGAAATGGATAATCGAGAGTATGTTTTTATCGTACCGACTTGAGTAATGGTGATCGAGGCTAGACCGAAAATTCAATCGCTCAAATCTTGGTTCAGAGTGAGAACTGCCAGCTCTTTATCTAATCCCTCATAATGTATCTTTTATTATAAGTATGAACCATGACTTTACTTAATTGCTACAGTAAGAATCCACTGGTTATACCTTCATCAATAATTGTCCTGCTGTTCAGATCATTGCAAAGATCGACAGTACTTTGAAAATGTTTTCCCGAAGATTTCAGAAAATAAGAAAAACATTTTTTTTCTATTTTGACCCATTTTTAAATTGACAAATTCCTTTTATTTGAACGTTGTATGAAAAAATGTTATAACAATTTCCATAAGAGTATTTTATTGAATTAATTTCAGGTGGAAGATAAAAAGAAAGTAGAAGATGACGCCTTCCTGTTTTTATTTATACATTTTGCTCTACAAATTTTAACAGATTCAACTAAATTAGATCTTTCATTATTGGAGGTAAACATCTTTCTCTTCTTGGAAGGAAGCTGGGGAGGGTCGTATTGAGTTTGTTTTTATTCCACGGGGGAAGCTTGTGAGGCTGCGGTGGGTAGAAATTGAATTTGTTTTTATTCCACCTGGGAAGTTTGTGAGGCTGGGGTGGGTAGAATTGGATTTGTTTTTATTCCACGGGGGAAGTTTGTGGGTGTGGATGTTCGATTGAGAAAAAAAATATTACAATGCCAGTTGATAATCAGATAATGATACCCCGCCTCGAAACACAAAACTTGGTCATTTCGGACTAAAATATGGTTTATTTTTATTTCAATAAATCGCCTGTGAGTAGGAGTCTTTAGTAGTGGGAGGAAACCGGAGGAGCCGTAGAAAACCCATGGGGTTGGACAGGTGACCCTACTCCTTGTCACGTACAACTGGGGAATTGAAACCACTCCAGTTGACTCAATGACAGATCTTATGATACAACACCCATGCGCTAACCTGATACATATTGATCACTAAGATATTATATTATATTCAGGATGTACAGAGTTGTTATAAGAAAGCTTTCTTAAAGAAGAAACCTGGTGATAAAAATACTTCAGATGGTGAGTGATCCTTTACAATAGATTAGAAGGGAATTATGGGAGATTAGATAAAGAGTTGGCAGTTAAAAAATAGATAATGGAAATTGAATATGCTGAAAATTTCAGTCAGATTGCTCCACTATGAACCGAGATATTAGCATTTGAATTTTAGGCTATCCTCGATCATCTTCACTAAAGTCAGTACAATAAAAAAAAAAGTCTTGAAGATCTATTTTTATGTTTAATTATTTTTCAAAAATATATTCCAATCCACTAAATATCCACTGCATCAAGAGTTGATTATGGTCTGGATAAGTTAATTAATGTCCAATTAATAATTTAGATAACATTTCAGGCCCAAAGAAAGACCTGCACTAGGCAGATTTAGCTTTTGCATAATGTATGTTTAAATGATTTCAAATTGTTTTGGCTGTTCTCATTGTGTACATTCGGCGGTCTGTGATCTGCTCGTTGGGGTGTAGGAGGCCAAATGATTTAACACATGCGTGTTAGATTATATAAGGTCTTTTTAGTAATGATTATTCCTACACTATAACAATATTTATTTGATATTAACCCATGAAATTATTTGTTACAGAACCTGAATGGATAGAAGTAATGACAGAAGTGTTATTAAATATGATGTCCCATTCGTATCAACTAGCACGTGTCATGTCAAGCACCGCATTTAAACTTTTGGTTGATCATGTGACACCTGAAACAGTCGAACAAATTATTACAGTAAGTTAATAATAAACTTGTATCCCAAGGGTTTTCCAGGGTGGTTTCCCTTTGATAGGGGTGCAGGACGTAGAGCGTATATAGAAACTTTGAAATAAGATTAGACTGCTGCAACATTTTACTCGTAGCACACTGCATGGCATATGCGTGTCTTTATTAGCCAGTACATGCAGAAAAGTATGATGTTAAACAACATTTCATTTAATAAACTGGTCTCTTGTATCTCAGAGGAAGTTAATATGTGGTGTGATTGCGTTCTGGGAACAACTAGATCTATCTGTCCTATTTTTCCATGAGCTGACCGGAGTTGAAATGCATATAACCCATGGAACGTGGGGGTTGTCTAGTGGTTTAATATGTGTGTAAGAAACCATAAACTCTGTCAGGTGGCGTGCTTTTGATTCCCCGCTTGTGTGTGACGAGGAATAGTGTCACCTGTCCTACCTTGTGGGTTTTCTCCGACCGCTTCAGTTTCCTCCCACTGTTAAATTATTGAAAAAAACTCCATTTCTCTCTCTCTCCCTTGGAAATGTTTGAAATAGTCTTTTAGTCTGAAAATGATTAATCTTTTAACAGGTTATGTTCTCCAAGATGGGTGATGATGCTGTTAACTTTATTGATGATGAAGACAAGAATGATGATGATGATGATGATGAGGAAGGAGAAGAAGATGAGAGTGGAGATGATGATGATGATGATGATGATAGTGATGAAGAGAGCAGTGAGGAGACGGATGAAGATGAAGAAGATACAAAGCCAAATGGTAAAAAAGTAGAAAAGCCATCTAAGAAACTGAAAATAGATGTTAAAGGTTGGTTATGTTCTTTTGTTCATTAGACTTCTTTCTCTTCAATGAGTATAGAGGTGACTCACTCACCAGGGGGTGTTGGTCGAGAAAGTTCCTCTGGATTTTCTAACCCAGTTTCCCCCTTGTCAGTTGTGCTGAAAGGAGTGGTGTCCCCTTGTCAGTTGTGCTGGAAAGACTGGTGTCCCCTTGTCAGTTGTGCTGGAAAGACTGGTGTCCCCTTGTCAGTTGTGCTGGAAAGACTGGTGTCCCCTTGTCAGTTGTGCTGGAAAGACTGGTGTCCCCTTGTCAGTTGTGCTGGAAAGACTGGTGTCCCCTTGTCAGTTGTGCTGGAAAGACTGGTGTCCCCTTGTCAGTTGTGCTGGAAAGACTGGTGTCCCCTTGTCAGTTGTGCTGGAAAGACTGGTGTCCCCGGGTCAGTTGTGCTGGAAGGAGTGGTGTCTCCGGGTCAGTTGTGCTGGAAGGAGTGGTGTCCCCTTGTCAGTTGTGGATGTTAATAACAACATACATGACATCAGTTATCAGGGCTGATGGAACTGTGACAAGATGAAATTCTGTTTCATGTGGTTGCAATTCTGTCAGTTTGAAATGTTTCTGACTTATATCAATTTGAAATGTTTCTGACTTATATCAAAATGTTTCTGACTTATATCAATATTTCTGACTTATATCAATTTGAAATATTTCTGACTTATATCAGTTTGAAATCTTTCTGGGGATCACGTGGCTAAGTGGGTAAGACGCTGGCTCGCTAGCCTGGAGGTCGGGTGTTTGATCCCTGCATTGGTCGAGAAAGTTCATTCAGATTTTCCGGCGTGGTTCCCCCTTGTCAGTGATGCCAAGATCCCTTGGCAGTTGGAATTCGATATAAGAGTAGGCGATGGTGCCGCTGCCTGGGGAAAATTTCCCTTGTAGCACACTGTATGGTGTATGCCCGTCTTCATTAGCCCAGCATAGGAGCAGAACAGCAGGACGTTAAACCCCATTTCATTTCATTTCTTGAAATCTTTCTGACTTATATATATTTAAATGTTAATGTATACTTCTAGTGTTCATTATTATTATTAGATTGCATTTCGAAGCATGTCTATATTATGTTATTTTCCTGTTTCGCATTTCAATGAACTTGTTTGTTTTGCATGGTTTTTTTTAGATTCTAAAGAAAAGAGTCTAAAATCTGAAAACGCTGTTAAGAAGAAGAGTGGAAAACGAGAGGATGACGACGATGAAATGGAAGAAGCTGAAGATTTTAATGAAGGATTTCGTCAGACAGTCAAGGCAGCTCTTGGGGTGGCTGCTGCTGATTCTGATGATGAGGTAATCTGATTCAGAACAGTATGGGCTCAAATCAATGATCTCATTTGGATAATTAGAACCCTATTTTTAACAATGCCTTCCAGCGTACCGACGTAGTGATTTGATGATTTATTTGGACCAAAAACATGCTTAAACTGATTTATCTGTCAATAGTTTTCTTCAAATCTCTCTCAAAACATTTTAATAGCAAGAAACTACTCCAAGACGTAAAATCTATTGTAGGCAGCCTTATGTTTCATGTGACTTGATTGAGCAAGGGTACATTTATAGCTTGTATTTGTTGTTACTCGCTATCCAGTAAAGTCTTGGATTATCCTCTGTCAACTTTTTTTCCCCACTGTTTATTTAATCGCAAGTCTGTTGTATGATTAAGTCTCTCGCTGTTCGGAGGGTTGGATGGCTGAATGGTTAGCATGTGCGCGTTGTATCATAAGGCCTGTCATTGAGTCAACTGGCGTGGTTTCGAATCCCCGGTTGTACGTGACAAGGGTGACAAGGGGGAGGGTCGCCTGTCCTGGACATTAAACCCCATCTCTCTCTCTCTCTCTCTCTCTCTCTCTTCCACAACACCAAGCCATACGATCAAGCAGACAAAGCAGACGGGTTGCCAGTTAGTGACTCACTGACATTCCTGTCATGTGTGCGCCCTCTGTGTGTTTCTCAAGGAATGCAGTATTTATCTAGAAAGATTCACTGTCTCTACTTTCCATATATACCAAATTTTCCATACTTTTATTGGAGATACGGGATCCACGGTGGCTAATTGGGGTTTAAAGTCCTACTGTTCTGCTCCGAACTGGGCTAATGAAGACGGCATACGCCATAAAGTGTGCTATGAGGGAAATTTTACCTGGACAGCGGCACTATGGCCTACTCGAATTCCAACAATCAAGGGATCTTTTACTTGCACGCCAATGTGTACACGGGACCTTGGTTTTTTGTCACATCTGAACAACTAGACAGCTGTCCTTGTCAGGCCTTCCATCCTGCATCACTGACATGGGGGAACCACGCCAATGCAGGGATCGAACATGCTACCTCCGGGCTAGCGAGCCATCGTCTTACCCTCTTAGCCACTGTGACCCCTGTTTAGTTTAATAAATTGTGGATGGACTGGGTTATATCTGTGGAAACAGTGTTGTATTCAATCTTAATATGTTGGGGACTCGCTGTAAGATGGACCCCAATTCCCTTATAGTGTATAAATATTGTAAATAATTCGACCACCCATTTATTTTTCAGGAATCAGATTCAGATTTAAATGATAGCGATATGGAGAAGATGGATGATAAATTAGCCGAGGCCTTCAGAAGTATGCGAAAAACATCGAGAAAAAAAGTTGGTGTTGAAGCAGAGAAACAGTTTATAGCTTTTAAAACAAGGTACAAACACATTCTATAGATTGCCAAAAGTCTGTCATCAGAATAAAGCCAATCTCAAAAAGAGAGTGAGAGAAATGGGGTTTAACGTTCACTCGACACAAACTAGGTCATTTCTGGACTAATATATCAGTGTTTCAATAATTGGCTTGCACGTAGAAGTCTTTAGCAGTGGGAGAAAACCGGAGGACCTGGAGAAAACCCACAAGGTTTGGACTGACGATCCAACTCGTTGTCCTGTTCGGAATCGAAAGCAGGCCATTTGTCTCAAGGCCAAACCTTCTGATTTCAAGAACACGCTTTAAACACTAGACCCCCCCCCCCCCCTTGCTTTTTCAGAGTGTAAAAGCTTGTAGTTCTGTGTATACATTGGCGTGCAGGTAAAAGATCCCTTGGCAGTTGGAATTTGATACAAGAATAGGCCTTAGCACCGCTGTCCAGGCTAAATTTCCGTCATTGCAACAGTATGGCTATGTCCATCTTCATTAGCCCAGTCGGAGCAGAACACTAGGACGTTAAACCCAGTTTTATTTCGTTTAATTTTGTAACTTGAAATCACCCTTTTCACTTGATTTGTAACTATTTCACTTGATTTGTAACTATTTTACTTGATTTGTAACTATTTTACTTGATTTGTAACTATTTTATTTCACTTGATTTGTAACTATTTTACTTCCAGAGTAGTAGATTTAATACAGATATTAGTCAAGAGTGATATACAAGCTCAAATTGCTGTGGTAAGTTTATTATTTAATACAATATTAGTTATTATCAATTTCCTGAAAATATCTTATAAACCGCTCAAGGTATCATTCATGTCAACCATCTAAAGTAGTTGCTAATTTTTGGTTTTTGACTTAGTATATATTATATTGTGGTTATTTAACATTTAATTGTTTTATTGTAGAGTTTGGTTTTACCGTTGTTAAGAATTATGGATAAATCAAATCTTAAAGATGGACAGAGAGAACTTCACGTAAAAACGAAAAAATCGTTTGATATTCTCTACAACCAAAAACATGTAAGTATACAATTTATATTAATTTCAATACATCTCTAACAATATAATATATCTTTAATAATTTCAATATGTCTCTAACAATTTCAATACATTTGTAACAATTTCAATACGTCTCTAATAATCTTTAATACATCTAATAATCTTTAATAATCTACGGGTTTATTGGGGGTTTCTGTAGCTGGCGTGGTTTTGATTCCCAGGTTGTACGTGACGGTAGGTCGCCTGTCCAACCTCGTGGGTTTTCTCCAAGTCCTCCGGTTTCCTCCCACTGCTAAAGACCCCTATGCGTAAGCGAATTATTGAAATAAAATTGAACCATGTGTTGGTCGTGAAGTGACCTAGTTTCTGTCACCTTAACCCCCATTTCTCTCTCTCTCTCTCTCTCTCTCTGTTGTGATGATACAATGTATAGTTGTTGTAGCAAATAAAAATAAAAAAAATAGAAAAACAAAAAATTAATGTTATTGGGACTTATCCTTTATTTAGATGAAGGGAGCAAGTGAAGTAGATAAAGACTGGTTATTCAAGACTTTACAAGAGATTGTCCAGTTCAGTACAAAAGGTAACAAATGCTATGAGATTCATTTTATCAGGACCAATTTATTGTACATCATTTATCGAGGGAATTGTGATGTATCTGGGGGGGTTGGATGGCCGAATGGTTAGAATGGTTAGCAGGTGTGCGCTGTATCGTAAGGCCTGTCATTGAGTCAGCTGGTGTTGTTTTGAATCCCCGGTTGTACGTGACAAGGAATAGGGTTGCCTGTCCAACCTCGTGGGTTTTCTCCGGGTCCTCCGGTTTCCTCCCACTGCTAAAGACCACTACGCACAAGCGAATGATTGAAATATAATTAAACCATATGTTAGTCCCGAAATGACCTAGTCTGTGTCGAGTTGACGTTAAACCCCATTTCTCTCCCCCTCTCTCTGTGATGTATCTGAAATAACTGCTGAATAGAATGTTATTAAATACTTGACCTTGAGTCGGGTTTCCTGTAGGTAAGATGGATGTAGTTATCACAAACTGCAAGTCAAGAATTCGATTCCACAGGGTATTCTCCTGGTTATCCAGTTTCCTCCCATTTCTAAGACCACTGTGTGAAAGCAAATTAGGGAGCCACAGTGACTCAGTGAGTAAGAAGTTGGGTCACTGATCTAGAGGTCCAGTGTTTGATCCTTGCATTGGTTCCTCTATGTCAGTGTTGCAGGAAAGGGGCCTGGCAAGGGACAGCGTATAGTCGTTTGGATGGCATGAAAGAACGAGATCTCAAGATCCCTTGAAAGTTGGAATTTGGTGTAAGATAAGACTGTATCTTCGCTGTCTGGGACAAAATTTCCGTTATAGCATAAGCCAGTCTGGATTATCCCAGTTGGATGTTAAATCCCATTTCATTTCATTATCTTGCAAGCGAATTATAATATACCATGGTAGTCCCAAATTGACTAGAAAGGCTAGGCCGATATCTTGCTTTCCTCTTTCCTTGGCAATTTAAGACCGGGCTTAAAACTTAGGGATTTTAACCTCGGACCCAAAGTTATTTTATAGGTTTAACCTAAACTGATTTGTTTAAATTTTTGATTTTATTTTTTCAGCTACAGATTTGGTTTTAGTCAAAGAAATATCCAATGCTTGTTTATATATTGTAAGTTTTGACTGATAGATTCTAGATAATTAATATCCACTCATCGTAATCAGGATTGACCCCACACTTGATAGTAATCTATTATCAGTGATGATTCGCGCTATTATAGATAGACAAATGATTTCAACATGAATTATATACAAGTATTTTGTTTATTTGTAGATGAAGTTGTTGTTGTTAGATGATGAAACGCTGAACCCGACGAAACGTGATGATACAAAATCTAAGAAAAAGGTAGATAACTCTCCTGACCATTGTTGTTTTTATTATGTAAACTGTACATCATTTGTTTTACAAAACTTACGTAACATTTGTTATTGGATACAAGTAAACTTTAACATGACGATACAATATGGAAATAAAGGGTAGCCAACACTGTAACCTGGATATCATTTAATCTTGTGTATTTAGCACTAATTTCTTTCACATTCGTTTAATATCAAATCTTTGTTTACAGAAATCAGAAAATTACAGAGAAAAGGTTGTTGATTTTCTGAAAGAGAATTTATCATTTTTCCTGTATAATAAAAAGTAAGTTATAATTGAGTGAGGTTATATTATAGAACTATAGGTTTTATATCTGTATAGTTATCAGTTAGTGATGTTATTTTATAGAACTATAGGTTTTATACCTGTATAGTTATCAATTAGTGATGATATTTTATAGACTGAAATTTATTTTACAGATATGCCATGTTATTTATGAAACATTCTCATGAAGTCTGTGATAAAGAACAGATAAATGAGATTATAGAGTATTTATGTACAAAATAACACAATTTAATTTAATTAAACATATGTATTTATGAAACTGTAAATAATTGTAAAATTAATGAATTTAAGAATCCCCGCTCAACAGAAAACCACAACAGACTTGTAGAAGTAGAGGATCGTTTGATAAATCAACGTTTCGGGTGTGGTACCCTTTATCAAGATTCTGTAAAATAATTGTAAAATTATTGTAAATTTTATTATTAGTATTACTAACATTATTATTTTTATCACATCTGTATGTATACCTTTGTGTATGAAATAAATATATTATTATTAACCACATATGACATATTCAACTTGAATTGCAATTATATATCTGAGAAACGATAAGCTTTGTGTATGTATTTATATATTTGTATTTTCCAGAGATTATCGTTTCCATCCAGGATTTTTTAACAACATGTTAGAGAAATTTCCGGTAAATATTCAAGTTTGGTTCTTTAGTTATTTAGTGATGTATACCCATGATATGACTATATTTTATTATGCCCAATACCCATATATATTTAGTGATATGATATGACTGTATAATTTATTGTCATTTTACTTGTTATGTTATCTGCACATGTTTTGCTAAGTATAAATCTAAAACTTGTATAGCCCCAAGCAAATTTGATCCTTAAAGTCTGGGCCCTGTTTCACAAAATTTTAGTAGATACTTCAATTTTGATTGGCTAAGCACTAAAATCAATCTAATATTATCCAATGAAATTACTAAAATTTGGATTTTATCTTAGTTAAAATTTTGTGAAACAGGCCCCTAGACATAAGGCACCTGTCACAGACTTTGTCAAGTACAAATTATCACACGTTTATATTATATATGGCGAGTGGTAATTTGCATCTGACAATGTCTGTTACAGGTACCTTATGTCGTCACTTGTATATGTACATTAGAGACTTTTGGCAAGGGGAATTTTTCCCATCCGTATCCGTATCGTCATGTGATACATTGCGTCAATGTAGTATTAGATTTTCGCGCTGTGTACGTATGAGTAGCTGAGCTGAGCTGAGCTTAGTTCTATTATAACATGATGGCAGTTATCTACCAAGATTAACATCAGTACTAGTATACATATTACTGGAGGGAGTGGAGTCGCTCAACAGTCGCTGAGCTATTAAAAAAATTTAATGTCGAATCTTATTAAAAATCTTCGACTTCATCTCAGCAGCAATGGTTGGTTTCACTAATGTATCATGTCAGGAAGTTTTTACCCCTTTACCATAGAATCACATCATTTACAAATTTGCAAGGTCCCACCTCCCTAAATTTAGCGTGTATATCAACCAGCATGCGGACACAGGAAAAATATGAAAATTCTGAGAAAACCTCATCATAAATAATGATTAAATTCCAGTCTTTATCATAAACCACATCAAATATATACCTTCGTGTTCTAGTATACACATAGATTCATAAAAATGCTATGACAACAGTTCAGCGTCTAAAAGTAGCAAAAGAGACGGTAAAAAGACGACGATGTTATACAGACCTTTTCGGTGTGAAAGCTGTTCGATACGAGCTGCCGTATCCATGTGCCATATCACGTATGAGAAATACACACACATTGATAATGTTACACGCAAAGTTGATACGGATACACAATAGAGACCAGGAATTAACGCTTGCCAAATGTCCCTATTGTGTTATAATTTGTACTTAGCATAGACTGTGACTGATGACTTGTCTCTTGAAGTAAATGAAATTTTTGATGACAGTTAACTGTATATTTGTATATTTATTTTTCAGAAATTATTTTGGTTTTTAAATGTTACATTGTTGGATGTTCTGCAGAATGAAAGAATAAAAGTCTATAATAAGGTAGGTTGATGAGACAAAAGATGTTAGTTGACTAACCTGGAGGTCCCCCATGTTCAATCCAGGTGTAGTTCGAAAAAGTTCATTAGGATTTTCCGGCAGGACGGAGGATCTGGCAAAATGTGTACAGATTGGCGTGTACATAACAGAACCTTTGACAGTTGGAATTTGATATAAATAATTTCCCTCATATTATATCATTCGGCCGGCCAGTCAGAGGAGAACAGTAGGATGTTCAAACCCCTATTTCATTTTGTTTTGGTTTAATATGTTGACCAAAATAGCTTATCCCAATATTGACTATATCAATGGACGTGGACAGATTATCAACCCACAATCTGATTAAAACACAGATCCTATTTCGTTTCGTTTTACTTGTTTTTACTACACTAGGATCTGGAAGAGTTGTTATATAACCCGCATTCTGGTTGATGCGAGAGATAAGCCAATGAAACAGTTTGTTACAGCGAGTTCTTGGCATACAGTGCTTGGAACTTTGGGTATCCCTCTGGAAGCATCAACGCTGATGGGTTTATCAATGTCTGACGTCATAGGGTCAAAAGCCGATTGTATGACCCCTGATGCGACCTTCCACTATAACTTGTGAGACCTTCATTTAGTGTAGGCCATCGAAAGTATAAAAATCGAAACGAAATATACATCTGTATTTTAACCAGATTGATGAACCCAGAAAAACAAATGAATAGTTTTAATTCAATTGTTTTAATAGTTTATATATTTATTATATTTTACAGACATTAGCATGTGGTTATATGTCAACCTTGTTAGTTAAAAAACCAGTAAGTATCCTTGTAATTTTTCATCCTTTTACAAACATTAATCCAACCTTGTGGGGTTTCTCCGGGGCTTCCGGTTTCCTCCCACTGCTAAAGACCCCTACACACAAGCGAATTATTGAAATAAAATTAAACCATATGTTAGTCCCGAAATGACCTAGTTTGTGTTGAGTGGACGTTAAACCCCATCTTTCTCTCTCTCTCTCTCTCACAAACATTAATAGACGATAAAGGAGAACTGTATACAAAAGGTAGATCGAACATACCATACATTATTGTATGCGATACCTTTAGACCACAAGCTACTGCTACCATAGTGTATGTAAGGAGGGTTGGGTGGCCGAATGGTTAGCATGTGCATGTTGTATCATAAGGCCTGTCATTGAGTCCACTGGCATGGTTTTGATATCCTGGTTGTACGTGACAAAGAGTAGACAGCTGTCTAGTCGCTCGGATGGGACAAAAAACTGAGTCCTGTGTATACATTGGATTGCACATAAAAGATCACTTGGCAGTTGGAATTCGATATAAGAGTAGGCCATAGTGCTGCTGCTCGTGCAAAATTTCCCTTATAGCTCACTGTATGGCGTTGAACCCCATTTCTATTTCATTTTTATTGACCACACTTTATATTTATTTATTTATTCTCACAGCCATACGCCATTACAACGCATTATATTGTCTCTTTGATGTTCAGAAGGCATGATTCACCAGCAACTCATTATTCATATATACAAAGGTCATGAATGATATGTTTTTTTATTACAGTGTTTAGAACTGAAATCTGAAGAATGGAAGAAATTTGAAGATGCAATTTTACCAGTCTTAAAAAAGGTTAGAATAGAAACGATTGCTTCATCATGTTTTTTATTGAGTTAGGGATAACATTAGAACATCACTTCTAATTGTAACCTAGTTACTGCGACAAATTAAAATCAAATGTGGGCTTCAGATATCCTATATATAAGACAAAATTGGCACACGAATCGCGTGCTAGAATGCTTTTGAGCGCCAGTTGTATCAAGCAATTCGATGAACTGCTAAACATATCCCATGTAGGAGAATACTACTGGTGTGGACTGGAATAATAAGATGTCAAAGACTGCCATTCAATTCAGACTCTTCGCTGAACATAACTGATTAGGAATTACAGTAAAAACAGAAACGATTGAATATAAATAAGTTTATATACATTCATATTACAATATTATATGCATGCCAAATAATAGTGATTTAGCTCCTTTTAGCCTGGTTACTAATTTTATCTTTATTATTTTTCAGTTTATTCTATCATTTGATGTGAAAGATAATTATAAACCCAAATTTCTACAGGAAATCTTCAACATTTTGTTTAAAATGATTCAAATTTCACCACAGATTAAAACAGTAAGTGGATATTCAATTTACTCTTGAATTCACATATTTATAACAGCTAGTATTTATCATCAAAATAAAATCTTGGGGTTTGTGTGGATAATAAATAAAGTTGATGGAGATATATATATAGTAAGTGCAGGAGGACCACACTACACACAAAACAAAAATATACAAGATAAACCTGCGGACAAACCAGAAAATAGACATTGCACCAAATAAACAAATATCAAATCAAGTGAATGGATCCGGGGGCCAGCCCACAGAGGGTGGCTGACTTATCTAATGTGGGGGCGTTAGATGGTCGAATGGTTAATGCATATGTGCTGTATCATAAGGTCTGTCATTGAGTCAACTGGCGTGGTTTTGATTCCCCCGTTTTATGTGACAAGGAGTAGGGTCGCCTGTCCAGCCTTGTGGGTTTTCTCCGGGTCCTCCGGTTTCATCCTACTTCTAAAGACCCCAACACGCAAGCGAATTTTAAACCATATGTTATGACTGACCCACTAGCGTTTATGACTGACTCGCTAACATTTATGACTCACCTACCAGCATTTTTAAGGGTTATGTACTTAAACAATATGAACACTTCTAAATTCGAACACTTCTAAATTCACTGGTAAATGTTGAATAGAGTTACCCACCTTTAATGTTAGAAGCATATGAATATGTGATAATCAATAATGTTTCTAGACCTTAGTTTGATCACAAGCTCGGAAATGAAAAGGATTAGGGTTGCCTGCCTAACCTTATGGGCTTTCTTCAGGTCCTACATTTTCCTACCACTGCTAAAGACTATGTATATTGTAAAAAATGATGAGCTCCTTTCTCAACAAATTCTTACAGTGTTGATTCCAATTAAAAATTATATTTATTATTTTTATACGCACACAATTTAATGTGGACGTATATTGTCATCGACCCTGTCCGTCCGTCCACATTTTGCTTGTGGACACTTTACATGTCACAATTTTCATCCGATTTTGATGAAACTTGAACTATAGGTTTATGTGTTGGTTCTTCTCGATATTAACATGTTTTGGACTTTAACTTCATGGATTATTGCCCCTGATTGTATGAAATCGGTCTCTTTTTAGCTTGTTCTCTGTCCATCTCTTGCAAAATCTGAATTGATCTTTTATGGCAACCACTTGTAATATTTATTATTTACATTGAATAATTTAATATTTATTATTTTGTATTGAATAATTTATTATTAATAATTATTTTGTAAAATTTATTATTTAATTATTTATTATTTCAGAAAATAACAGATGATATGAGAGAGAAGATTTCCAGTTTAAAACCTAAATTCTGTAAAAATACACGACAGGCTTTCCATAGATATAAAGGTGTGCTAGATGAGGGTGTAGGAAAACGGTGAGTAGACTATATGCCCCATCATCATGTGATAAGGAGCAAAGATGACTTCCAGCATGGAATCACATGTCCTGTCGATTTTACATTTGCCTCCAGCGAACAACTAATCACGGATATGGGAACATTTTGGATTAAAAAAAACGGCATAATGGAAAAAAAACAATTTAAATATCATGTACTTGTTTTTATTTTTTAAGTAAATTTGGAAAGTTAAAAACTTAAGCCTGATGAGTTAGCATAAGAACAGGGGTGGGGGGTGGATGACCAAATGGTTAGCATGGGCGTGTTGTATGGTCAGGTCTGTCATTGAGAGAGAGAGAGAAAAATGGGGTTTAACGTCCACCCGACACAAACTAGGTCATTTCGGGACTAACATGGGTTAATTTTATTTCAATAATTCGCTTACGTGTAGGGGTCTTTAGCAGTGGGAGGAAACGCCCGTTGACTCAATGACCGGCCTTATGATACAGCGCACATGTGCTGACCATTCGGCCATCCAACCCCCTGTCTGTCATTGAGTCAACTGGCATGGTTTCGATTCCCCGGTTATACGTGACAAGGAGGAGGGTCGCCTGCCCAACCTCTGGTTTCCTCCCACTGCTAAAGACCCCTACATGCAAGCATTGAAGTAAAATTGAACCATGTGTCAGACAGGAAATGACCTAGTTTGTGTCGAATGTATAACGCCACTTATAGATTTCCAACTTTATTGTAAAATTAAATTATTGTTGAATATTCAGTTTACTCTTTTAATATTTCAGATCCAGACGACAGGAGCGACACAACAGTCAAGACCGTAAGCCGAAACCGGTCGATAAAATAAACGGAGGTACGCCGCATGTTAATGGTGATCACGAAGCTGAGGAGATCGTGATGGCAACACCGAAAAGTTCCAAAAAATCCAAGAAAAAACATAAAGAAAGGAATGATTCAGAATCTGATAAACAAAATGAAAACGAGGATGATGAAGTTTCAAAGATGGACGTTGAAGAAGAAAAAAATAAAACTGAAATTAAGAAATTGTCAAAAAAGAAAAGAAAAAGTGACGAATTTGCAATGAATGGTGAATTGTCTCCCTCTAGTGAGAAAAAAACAAAACTTTCCAAATCATTTAACTTTGGTGTTCAAGATGGCGATTCTACGACAAAGAAACTGAATAAAAAAGAAAGAAAGCGTAAAATTTCTTTATAGTTTTATAAAAGATGTTTTATTGCTCAATAGTCGTCAGAGATCAGTGGTTGTTTGTAGTTTGTGAAACCAGTCAATAATCAGGGGGGAATAATTCACAGAATGATTTAAGAATACATCCCTTTCATTGGTTTGGTGTTATTAAACTATGTTGCATGACTTTAGCTCAGCCAATGAAAATGCTGTATCCTTACTCTTAGCCAATGAAAAAGCTGTATTCTGGAAGTATTTCCACCCCAGAGTTCATATTTGAGCAATTTTTTTCCAAAAAGTGTTTTTTCTTGCATTGAGAATGACCAACTGAGAAATCTTTATGTCAGTCAATTTGCATAGAAATAGAAATGTTTGAATTTTTTTTGAAAAGCAAAATGTACAACAGTTTGTATTTTGTTTCTGGTTTTATTTGTTTAAAACTTGAAATAAGGGAATAAAACTAATTTTCTACATTTGTTAATATAAATTTAAGAAGCATAAAAAGTTCTGTCCAGCTAAATTTTTAAATAAAACCCAGTAAATAACAGCAATCAAACCTCATATATGGCAGAAAATTTGAAGTGCCTGAAAAATATTGTAGTAGGACCACACGAAAATAGGCAGAGATAGGCACTCTTCTCAAAATATCTCCATTCATAATTTTTGCCTTGAAACTTAAAAACAACAACATTACTTGCATGTATTTATCAGAATCCTGAACAACTGAAAATCAAGTTGGTTATAACCGATTTACTTTAGGAAATGACATATTATATTGTTTTATATTTAATGAATTATCAGGGAAGGATGTATTAAGTAGTACTAACTGGGTCCATATATAGTAGACAAAACATTCTCACACTTATGGAGAGAATTTACTCAACTTTCAATCACTGTTTATGAGAAATATCTTTGATCCAGAAACACAAAACTGTGCACATAGTTTCTTATTGATGTATTTGGGGGGTTGGATGGCTGAATGGTTAGTGTGCACGCGCTGTATCATAAAGTCTGTCATTGAGTCGACTGGCGTGGTTTCGAATCCCCGGTTGTACGTGACAAGGAGTAGGCTCGCCTGTCCAACCTCGTGGGTTTTCTCCGGTTTCCTCCCACTGCTAAAGACCCCAAGCGAATTATTGAAATAAAATTAAAACCATATGTTAGTCCCGAAATGACCTAGTTGTGTCGAGTGGACGTTAAACCCCATTTCTCTCTCTCTCTCTCTTTATTGATGTATTTGATACATTAAAACAACAAAAGTTTTATAAAGGGCTATATTTTAGTTAAAAAAGGGAAACAATTTTAAGTAAATTCTTAACTGAAGCCTGAGAATGCTTTGTGAACTCGGGGCCATGTCCTTGTTGTAATAAACAAATAAACTTTGTCTAAATATTTCAAAATGTTGTAGACTCACCTCTATCTTGAATAAATGACAATTAATTTTATCATCAGCTGAATAATATTTGTTAATTAAATGAAAATCTGTAAATAAATAGATTGAATAAAATATTATCTTTAGTTTTTCTATTTTTTTTTTTATACAGGTGATGAAATAAAATGAAACAGGGGCCTGTTTCACGAAATTTTAACCAAGATAAAATCCAAATATTAGTAATTTGATTGGATAATATTAGATTGATTTTAGTGCTAAGCCAGTCAAAACTGAAGTATCTACTAAAATTGGATTTTATCTTTAAGATTTCGAGAAATAGGGCCCTGGGTTTTTAACGACCTACTTTTCTGCACCAACTGGGCTAATGGACATGCATCATGCTGTGAGGATATTTTACTCTTATTCCAATTTCCAGCTGTAAAGGCTTCTTTTACATACACATCAAGTGACCAACATGTACACGGGACAGTAGTTTTCCCACTAGGCGCTATTCTTGCCAGACCCTCTCACCGGCACCACTAAAATTCCTGAGGAACTTTCTTGGCCAATACTCATTGTCATTGGATGTAATCCAGGTGGGTGAGAGGGAAAATATCTTTGCTGTGAGATGTAATCAAGCTGGGTCAGAGGGCATATCTTTACTGTGGGATGTGATCAAGGAGGGTGAGAGAAGAGGGCCTTTGCCGTGGGATGTAATCCAGGTGGGTGAGAGGGCATATCATTGTCGTGGAATGTAATCAAGGGTGGGTGAGTGGGCATATCTTTGCTGTGGGATGTAATCCAGGTGGGTGAGAGGGCATATCCTTGCCAGGAGGGGCGAGAGGGAAAATCTTTACCACGGGACATATCTGTATCATAGGAGGGGGGATGTAATCTAGGTGGGCGAGAGGGCATATATTTGCCTTGGAATGTAATCAAGGGTGGGTGAGTAGGCATACCTTTGCTGTGGGATGTAATCAAGATGGGTAAGAGGGCATATCCTTGCCAGGAGATATAATCCAGGTGGGGAGAGGGCAAATCTTTACCATGGGATGTATCTCGCGTATCTGTGACATCGGAAGTAAGGCAATTTGATGGCATATCTTTGCCATGGGATGTAATCAAGGGTTGGTGAGAGGCCATATCTTTGCCATGGGATGTGATCTCAGTGGGCAAGAGGGCATATCCTTGCCAGGAGATATAATCCAGGTGGGCGAGAGAGAAAATCTTTACCACGGTACATATCTGTATCATAGGAGGGGGTGTAATCAAGGTGGGCAAGAGGACATATCTTTGCGTTGAGATGTAATCGAGTCAGGTGAGAGGGCATATCTTTGTCATGGGATGTAATCTAGGTGGGTGAGAGGGCATATCTTTAATGTGAGATGTAATCGAGGTGGGTGAGAGGGCATATCTTTGTCATGGGATGTAATCTAGGTGGGTGAGAGGGCATATCTTTAATGTGAGATGTAATCGAGGTGGGTGAGAGGGCATATCTTTGCCATGGGATGTGATCTAGGTGGGCGAGTGGGCATATCCTTGCCAGGAGATATACACCAGGTGGGCGAGAGGGCAAATCTTTACCACGGGACATATCTGTATCATAGGAGGGGGATGTAATCAAGGTGGGCGAGGGGACATATCTTTGCGGTGAGATGTAATCGAGGTAGGTGAGAGGGCATATCTTTGTCATGGAATGTAATCTAGGTGGGCGAGAGGGCATAGCTTTGCTGTGAGATGTAATCAAGGTGGGCGAGAGGGCATATCATTGCCATGGGATGTGATCTAGGTAGGCGAGTGGGCATATCCTTGCCAGGAGATATACACCAGGTGGGTGAGAGGGCAAATCTTTACCACAGGACATATCTGTATCATAGGAGGGGGATGTAATCAAGGTTGGCGAGGGGACATATCTTTGCGGTGAGATGTAATCGAGGTAGGTGAGAGGGCATATCTTTGTCATTGGATGTAATCTAGGTGGGTGAGAGGGCATATCTTTGCTGTGAGATGTAATCAAGGTGGGCGAGAGGGCATATCTTTGCCATGGGATGTGATCTAGGTGGGCGAGTGGGCATATCCTTGCCAGGAGAACTAATCCAGGTGGGCAAGAGGGCAAATCTTTACCACGGGATATAATCCAGGTGGGGGAGAGGACATATCTTTGCTCTGCGATGTAATCAAGGTGGGTGAGAGGGCATATCTTTACCGGGGGATGTAATCAAGGGTGGGTAAGGTGGCATATCTTTGCGGTGAGATGTAATCGAGGTAGGTGAGAGGGCATATCTTTGTCATGGGATGTAATCTAGATGGGCGAGAGGGCATAGTTTTGCTGTGAGATGTAATCAAGGGGGGTTAGAGGGCATATCTTTGCTGTGTCATGTAATCAAGTTGGGTTAGAGGGCATCTTTGCCATGGGCTGTAATGAAGCCGGGCGATAAGGCACACATTAACTATGAAAACATTACGTTTTCACAGACTCGTTTAAGTCCTGTCAACTTTAAATTATATCTACACACTCATGACCAACAATTTATTTTCCAATCATTTTTATTCTTACCGGTATATACATCAACAAATACATAAATTTCACAATTATAAATAAATAACAATAGTCTTGAACAATCAGAACAACTTTTACTCATAATGACATAAATAGACATATAATTCTTTATTATCCAGCGATCTAAAAAATCCAAAATCTATACATGTAAAAGGGATGTTTATTACAGAAATTACATTCTTCATGATTCACCTGATAAGTAAAATAAAAATAATCAAAAGCTTACAAATACATTAGAACATTTCAAGCGTTCATATTAAGCAATTATTAATTTTAGTTCTGACATTGTGGCTTGAAATCACATTACTAATCAAAATCTTACTAATACATTACAAAATTTCAAGCTGTCAGATTTTAATTTTAGTCAAGGCCTTAAAACCATCTGTTTAAGCTTATAGATATCAGTTTTAACAAGAAGACCGACTTCAAAATCTTACTAATACTGGTACATTAAAAAATGTAAAACCTCTATATAAAGCAAAAGTTCCTTATAAGCAATAAAAGAGCTTTCTTATAGTATTATGTTTTAAGCAGAAGACAAGTGTCAAAATCTCTTTAATCTTCAAATAGTTCATTCACTTATCAATCAATCAATAAATACCAAGGTTATATAACCAACTTTCTGTTGACATTTAAAAGTCAGTAGGACAAGTTAAAGTAGATTGTCAATTTATTTCTATATTTCTAACCATACATTGATAAAATGATTACAAGACTGTGTTCATGATGACATTCACCAATTACCTATATCACTATTAACTATCTTTTCTAGAATAGAAACAAGTCCACCATCCAGGTGGCGGATCAATGTGGAGTAACTAGGTCTAAATATCAAGGCCACCTACAGATTTCATCAAGTGGACCATCCAGGTGGCAGATCAATGTGGGTTGACTAAGTCTAAATATCAAGGCCACCTGCAGGTTTTGTCAAGGTCACGAGATGTACACAGGGCTAGTGCTAACCCTAACGCTTGGCAACAATCAGGTGCCCTAACCCATCCCAAACTTAGGCTGCCTGTCTACAGCTACGAAGTATGACATAGATGGATCGCTGCGTGCAGTATGGCCCTAACCCTGTTTACATCTTGTGACCTTGACAGTATAAAATGTGTAAATTTGAGTTGTGTTGATGTTTTGGGTGATGTAGTGTATGAGATTTTAATACTGACACCACTATTTTTCAATATTGACTTGTGGGCGAGGCCTGTCTTGTGTACATGTTGATTTTCAGGTAAAAGAACCCTCCACAGAGATGGAATTTGAAATAAGAATAGGCCGTAGCGGCCCTCACACACGGTATACATTTAACGTGACTAGTGTAGAATCATTAATGGACCTGGGGCCGAATTCACAAAAAATGTTCAATATTTTAAGGTTTCAGCCATTTCATTGGTTAGAATCCTAGTACAAATTTCAGCTCTTATCCAATGAAAGATCTGAATTATTAAAATTATTTTGTGAATAAGACACCAAGGTATTTTTCATATTGCCACAAAATAGCTTGTTAGTCCAAGTCAATTTGATTTTCAATTCTTTGGCATTTTGATAAATGATGTCTTATGGGAGTTATGTATTTATTTTAAAATTTCAAACGTAAAAAATGGAGCTAGTCGATTGCAGTCTAATGATCATTTAACTAGACTATCTTTAATTTTTAAAACCTAATTTTAAAAGTTTCTCACAAAGAGCTAAAAATAAAATATGTATGGTCTTCTGATTATATATTAAATGCTCTTTATATAATGATCATATGCTTTATGATATGCGAATCTACCCTAAACTATTTTATTTCAAATAAATGATGGACTTTTACATATTATTTATAATATAATCTATGAAATCTACCCTAAAATATTTTATATCAAATAAATGATACTGTCTTACATATTATTTATAATATAACAGAATCTTCCTTAAAATATTTACTTAAAATAAAAGATATGCTCTTACAAATTATTTATAATATAACAGAATCTTCCTTAAAATATTTTACTTAAAATAAAAGATATGCTCTTACAAATTATTTATAATATAACAGAATCTTCCTTAAAATATTTTACTTAAAATAAAAGATATGCTCTTACAAATTATTTGAAGAGCCCCGGGGAAGAACGATCTAAGTCACTTTTTCAACGTACCCCAGTTAATGGCGCCATCTGGTAGCAAATTGTATAAGCTTTCTGTGGAACAATCTATTTCAGGTAAAAACCATCAGAGTCACATCAAACCAATGCCCTTCTGAAATGGCCTCCCGGACAAATACGTCAATCATACCCTTTATTTGACCTTAATTTAGCTGAAACGTGGAAGTCAGTTGTTGTACAGGTAATTATGGTTCGTATCAAACATCATTTTGAAGTTGTAATAAACATTCTCGTCCAAAAGTCTGTTTTGTTTTTTATGCGAAAAGACAAAAATGTGACTTAGATCGTGCTTCCCCTGGTCTCTTCATTTATAATATTACAGAATCTACCCTATAATAAATATAACTCTAAATGTAACATTTCTAACCTATTCAGATATTATGCTGTTACAAATTATTCATAATATAACAGAACCTACCCTATAATAAATATAACATTTCTA